CCCGATCAGGCCACTTCTGCTGGCAATCTGCTAACCCTTTTAAATAGTTCTAATAGGGGTCCATCCAAATTCATCCAGCATGAAAAAGCAGTTGATCTCAAAATCAGAATAACCGTTTAGGTGGGAAATGTAAGCCCAATTCCTTGCTTGATCTCTCAACTTCATAATACTTTTAACATGAGAAATATTACCTACCAAATTACCTGATAGGAAGTGGGGTGTACTTTCAGGGAGCTAGAAGTTCCCTTAACCTTTCCTCTGGCCTTACGACACACGGAGCACATTCGTGCACCTACATTGGGGAATGTCGATGGAGGCTGACTGATGACTGGGTGGATTTGGCCATGGCCAAGACCTGCTGACACCCACACAGACGTCAGAGCGCGTACGTGTTTGCGGGTGGGTAGTGAAGGCTTGTGAAGCGGAAAATAGGCGTCGCTGAAAAGGGCTGTTTGGAGGTAATATTTATATTGCCTACCAATCGCCCATCCTCCCGAAGAATTTGCACTCGGATGAACAAAAGCCTTGCAGATTGCATTCCTCGGAGGTGAGATTCTTAGTCATGTAACCTCGTGTCAATGTCATTATGACTACCAGTGCTCAAATGGTAAGAATGTAAAACTGACGTCTTATAACGGCCTGTCAATAAAAGGTAGCACATTTACAAATATGAAAATGTTTTATGCACAGTAAAGCCCATATTTTAATGTTTAAAATAAAGTTAGGCAAGAATATTTCACAAACTGTCACTTCTGACAATTGGCGAGGGCGTCTGCGTTTGCCCTCCAATCATTGGCATCAACTGCATTGCTTTCTTGCACCATCGATGATAAATCCTGAAATTTCTTGAGTCACAATGATATAAGTTATCCGTCTCTTCGGAATTCCAGTGGCCCTAGATACGAATTCCATTGGCGGTGATGAGAATTATATTTTGTCTAGGTTTTCATGTAAGAAAGTAGTGGGAATTTTAGATAGAGTCGCAACTATTCACCTCATTCTTTGGTAAAATAAATGTTTTGATCAGTTTAAGATTTAAAAAAACAAAGTTATATTAAGAATGCAATCAGTTAACTGTTTGTTAAACTCTAAGCTTTGGTAAAAAACTAATTAGGGGTTCCATCGTTATATGTCCACCTAACGGCCTGGCCTTCGGGCTATGTCAGTACCCGCAATCCCTTCTCTATGTCTACATTATGTATTCTGTCTGGGTATTATGTCTCTTTTTATCTTCAGAGAAGAGTTGGAGTGCTGCATTGGTGGCAACGGAAAGTAAACCTAACCTTAAAGGATAATCATCCGGATTTCTATGTCTGGCGGAAGAAGGACTTATGCTAAGGATGGGAAAATTGTTGACGTCCGCTAATAGAAGGTCTGAAAATAATGTCTACATTCGGCAAATACCCCAGTCCCGTGGTCTGCAGGAAAAGTATTAACAAGTGAACTGGTAGTAGCTGTGAACCATCCAGAAAGGTCCCTCACGGAGGTGTCAACTGTACTTGTATGCTGTCGATTATGTGAGCTTGCGGTACCTCCCCCGATTGTCTACTGGCTGGTTAGAATCCAGACAAATACGTTGGACTGACAACAGTGGAGTGAAAAAAAGGGGGCAAGGAGGAATAAAAGTAAAACCCTACCCCCACGGAATTATGTTTAACCCCGACCTTTGTTATACGACTCTGCTCTTAGGCCAGTGTTCCTACGGCCAGCGATGGACACGCGTAACAGCCAGCACCTCTTTCCGTCCGCCAGTGTCGTTCCCACACAGGATGAAACTCCAGATCCTGTAAAATTGCCAGGAAGGATCAGTGACGTTGCAGTAAAGTGTCTTTGATGATTGCAACGGTTAGCTCATGGGTGCTTTCCTACAACACCGAGCACGTTGTGATGGATGATGTTGAAGGTGGAAGAGGACGACGCTAGAGAGAGAAGCTATACAAGAGGTTAATTGTTTTTTGAATCTTGGTCGTGGTAAAGGGTCAATTAAGGTCTCCGCTAATGTAACTCTGCAGAGCGAGCTTGGCTTTTGAGCCACAACAGTAGCCTAAACCCCTTCCGTATGTCGAAAAGACAACCTATCCGAGTATGACATATTCCTTCGTCTTCATGGCGGTCTCGGGGGTTTACAAAGGAGAGCTCGAGAAGTTAACGAAACTGCTACAACCTTTAGAACTAGGAGTTTCCATAACAACAACAATTATTTTGCAGTATCCCTCTTATGCTAGGATACTTTGTTAATCCACATTCCACAGATATACACTCGCGATTAAACACAGGACTCCTCTCAGTCAACTTTGTTTTCCACATTATTTTACCTAGTTGCATCAAATAGAAAACCCAGCAACGTAAATCGAGATGCACAATGACTCCATTTGATACCTTTAAATTGTACGCACAAACGCAATTGTTTTCCCTCTATCCAAAGTCGAAATAAATGCTATTGGAAGCAAATGACAATTGTGGGCAAAAAAGGTTTGGGTGTACTATCAGAGGATGAAAATAATTCTACGGCACGATTTACCGAGGACGACAACTGCCTCAATCAAAAGTACATTTGTGCCTTTCCTTTGAATTACTAGGCGAAGTAGCGCATTTGGGAGAGTCATGTACATTTGATTGGAAGGCGACGGGCAGGGCAGAGGAAAGGTCTGCAAGCTTGGCGCCACCAGTGAGCCCAAATAGGCTCATTTGACCTATTACCTAGGCCATCGGTAGTGATTTAGCGGCGAGAATTTTGCACTTTTGTGCCTAATCGTCTTAGCACAAATTAGAATTTAGGGACTACGAGATTCCTCCCTGTAGGTACTTGCTAAATAACGATCGGATGTCTCACTTGATGAATGCACATGATTGTGGATAAAATCAGGATAGAGAATAACAAGAATCCCATCCATCGAGGTCCTCCCCTGCCCAATTTATAACTACTAAGTGCAAGGGGGAAAATGGCATTAGATAGCCTTTTGTCGGGCCTTGGTAAGAATTCGGAAGTAACTTTTGAGCTGGAAGGATCTACTCGTGAATTATGTAGATTTAAGCCGCGTGTTTTGCATTTTTAGATGATAAATTCTGCGGGCTCCGAGAAGAACGGCCGTTAATTATACTGGTTGGTTATGCTTTTAAAAAGGGTGGTAATAAGTGGGAGGAAAAACTCTTCATTTACCAAGAATTTGGATAGTACTTTGAGAAGATATTCGCTTTAGGGATGGCTTAGAGCAGTGGGACCAAAAAAATCAAAAGCCAAGAGCGAAGAGTAGGAAGGACTTTTGCGACAACTGATGCTTGAAATGCATGAATAAATTTTTCGAATTGGGTTTTGCACAAAAAACTTGGTTTGGAAATGGGATAAAAGGCTTACAAATCAAGGAAAGTTGGGTAAAAACTGCGAGAGGTAATATGCTTTAGATGTTTTAGTATCACTTATAATACAGGAGCATTTATCGGAAAAAGATTATTGGTATAAAATAATTCGTGCTTAAAATAATTAACCCATTGGAAATTACCAAGGCCATTAATTTTGCCAGGAAAGAGAGCCCTATACCGAATAACTGACACGTTTTAAAGTAACACTCGTTGTTTTGCAGAATACAAGATAGAAGGTGGCAAAACGACTCAGCTTGAAGGGTTAACCTCAGTTTCACAAAATGCAAAAAGTCTCTCCTCCTAAATGTCACAATAAGTTAGTTTAAATAAATTTTATTCCGGTGGTACATATACCCTCTCAGACCTTCATGCATGGTAAAAATAAACTGCTTATACACCGGTCTGGCTTGTGTTGAAAGGAGGAGTGATCAGAGGGTTTTGCTTAATAATACCTGTAGGTGTACCCGTTCCGAGTAAAGAGCAGTCCCAGTTCCTTTTGCCGATTACCAAATCTAAATGGCGCAGAAAGTAGGTACCCACTATGAATGACCTAATCCGCAGAGTCACTTCGGGATGGCTGTAGAAGTCAAGTATATTTTATGCCAATCAACTCAATCTCGTGTTCTGCAAAGAAGGGTGTAAGTGGTTGGAGCGACACTGGATTTGGAAGATCTGCAAAAATTTATTGTGGAATTGTCCGTAGTAATATGAAGAATTGTGATTTCCACGAAAACTGGGGAGTATCTGCTCATCGAACACCTACACAGAACTCGGGTGAATTAGAATGAGAATAAGGTGGCCAAGTAGAATAGATACTCAATTTTAGCTGTGCAAAGTTATTAGAAGTTGTCCCATTAACTAGCCCTGCTCCCAGTTCAATATTTCTCCAAATGACAAACGTCATATGAATCGTACCCCTTCTAGAGCAACGTCCAGTTTCAAGCATTATGAAACCATTGAGTCTTATTTTAACATTGTTTACAAAGGAGGTCAAATGGGATCCCCATGATTTATAAAAGATACTAAGATCAGATTTGTTCTCGCTGCTACGAAAACTTAATGAATATTTATCCGGATCTATGGGCTGTGTTAAAATGACTGACTACAAAGTGATAAGGACGCCACTTAAAGGGATGGGATTGTGTAGTGATTCAATGTAAATTAAGTGATGCAAATTCATCAAATGAGCCCTTCAACCCCCGCAGTTTGTACTTCCGGCATGGCAGTATAGCTTTTCAGGCAAGCCCCTAGCCTAACAGTTCTTCTTATGCTACTAATAGAACCTTAACTCTGGTATGGGTGATTGCAACCTCTGATATAAATAAGAGAGCGATTTAATATTTTAACTGGGTTGTATACCATGTGGTTTCATAAGATAACTTTTATGGATGTAAAAATGTTAAAAGCCTTAAGGGCTCCAAATTCTGAACACCAAAATCTAGGATCGAAATAATATATCTAGTTATAACGGATTAAAGTTAAGTCTAAGCCACAGGTGTTTGTTGTGAATATTATATTTAAATCATAATAGGCTATAGTGAGTGCAGTTAATTGAAGTCAAAATCAGCAGCCATATTTGAATTCCCTACCACACCAAGTCAACCTGTCTGATCATGTCTGCCTGAACTACTTTTCGCCTTATGGAGGTTATAAACAATTTACTTGCTGGTAAGCCCTCATTCCCACCAATACTAGGGTTAAATTCGACTTCAGAAGTTTGGTTATGTATTTTGCATGCCCAACTACTTATGATTTGGGTCGCCCCAAATAGTCCGCTTTTTAATCGAAATTCCTAGTTCGTCATTTATTCTGGTGGTAAGTGCGAAGTAGTTAGTACAGGACGAGTTAATTAAACGCTTTAGTTGGTTTTGACACCGTGGTTTATAATGCCAAAGCTTGATAGAGTGGACTTTTTCTCCAACATTTCCCTTAACTACCGAAACCGCGGGAGCAAATTCACCCAATCATGAGTATTTTAGTAATCCTAATGACTCTCCTAACACCATGGTAATACCAGATTTGTTGTCTCAGGCAGTTTTGCTTTGATTGCGATAATTGGTCGCAGAATACTTAACAAAACTTTTTCCGACGTCTTTTATCCTTAGTGTTACTCTTGAACGCGTTACACGTAATCACTGCGTGAACACATGGTTTATTTGCTTTTCTTCTACGAAATTAAGGTAATCAACGTAAGCCGCGCACCGACACATCGGTGATTTCTAGTAGTTCAGGCAGCATTCGATATAAATGGCCACATCGGCGTAGGCGCACGAAGGTCCAAAAGAGTGCGGAAGTAGAATCCGTGCCAGCAGCAGCAGCAGCAATATCGGAAGTCGGCTCGGACACGGCGTCGGTCGTGTTATACCCGGGTTTGCTGCGAGTGCCTGCGGACGATTCCTGTGTTGTCTGCGCCAATGACGTGGATAGCCTCTACGCGCTGCAAAAGTGCGGCCACCGGGCCTGCCTCGATTGCTGGCGCGCCTTCGTGGCCTCCCAAGTATCCTCCTTTGCCATGGCCCATATTACCTGCATAGCCTGTAACTGTCGGCTGTCAAGAGCTCTCACTCTTCAGCTCCTCAGACCTCCTCATCAGTCTCACTCCGAAACCTCATTTACTCAGAACGCCTATGTCGCCTTTTCGGCCGGGCAGCAGGCATCTGCGGCAAAGTTGTACCAGCGATATGAAGACTTTCTTCTTCATCAATACCTCATACACGATAAAAGGACGCGTTGGTGTCCCCGTGGTTGTGGGTGAGCTTCATGAATTTACCCCATATGTGCGTGGGCGGCTTCGAAGCACGTGACTGACTTATCATGCACACATACGAGGTTCGGTTTGCAATCTTCATGTATCATCTGAACTTTGTTAGGCTGCTCGATCTCCCCTACCCCGATGTATTGATACGCCGTCATGAGGTAAATGTGCGCTGAGGCCATGCACATTGTCACATTGAATGTCCTTCAAGGTTACGCGAACTCTGCTTCAGCTGAAATCCTCACCGCTTGTTTTAGCTTTTAGTCCTAATTAAATGGGGATCTTTAATGATTTCAATTACTTGTAAGTACTGCAATTACTAAACATATACTTCGATCCGGCTTATTCCCGATGCGCTAGTATTTGATCGTTCACAGTCTCTTCGCTCGGTTCAGGCATCTGAGTACTTCCATAGTTTGCATGGTAATTAGTTATAGGAAAGAAAGCAAAGCACTCACAGAATTTGCGGAAATGTCATTTAAAAAGGGCGATTTCACTATTCGAGCACATCATTGTATGCATGACCAATCTTCAAGTGGTTGAGAAAAGGAGCACAATATTACTGGAGCACTTTACCAATTTAATTGGAAAGCCCATGCAATTAGTCGGACCTCCTGTTTTTTTGTCATCATATAGATTTATGATTTTTACCCCACTCCCACGAATGCTACCCTGATTGCGACATTCTTAGATAAGCTTGAAATTTACACCACAGGATTGACTGGAGCACTTACCGATTCGTTTCATTTGCGGTGCCTCGCGAGAAATTACCACATTGTTAGTATGATAGTATAGCAGAGAGGAGGTGGCAAATGAAAAACATTTGCTGTTAGGATCTGAGAGGAATATCGGCCACAAAAACTCCGAAGGGATATGTTCCCTTTAGTGGTGTGCTGCTCAAAAATAAAAAAACATCTTATGGACCAAGAACATCCTGCATCGTTTCATCTTCTTAAATTTGATCAATCTTAATGCCTGTACTCAGTAGATGGTGCTTTATGTTTTACAATTTTAGCCTTTCTTACTGCTGACATCGTCTTTCAAACTGTGCTTCAAATCCACTAGAGTGAGATTGATATACATAGATTCGATTACTGAATACTTTGTCAAGACAAAAGTTATTTTTAGCTATGTGAACCGCTTATTAAGGTCACATGGGTACGTGGAGTGCAATTTTTCGAAAAGAACCTTGTCGTTGTTCTCGATTCTGTTGCTGTCGATACTTGCACTTGTTATAGCCTCAAGTTCATGAGCGCGATCTTGGGTTGTGTTGAGATCTCCGTCGGAGTAATGAAGAAAAACAAGGAAAACAAGGACCTTAGTGCCAACCACATATGTACAACCACAATACTTCACCTGCGTGTGCGTTTATTGGGTGAACTGCTGAGTTATGGACTGGTCCATTTCTGCTTATTTATGCCATCTAGATTGGGAATGGCCTTAATTATTGACCAGTCAGGATGGTCTCGGTGGGAGCGCTGTGAAATGCTCTAGAACACCAGAGAGAAGGAATACGTAGGCAAGTATAGAGCTTGAGAACAAGAACGTTATTTCTGAAACCGCAGGCATCCCAGCACTCCTCGTGGAAGTCATTAACGACCTTTCCCAAAGTTGACTTGCAATCTTTCCGTTGTTCCCCCTCACTTAGCAAACTGCCATCTTAGTGCACAAAACAAATCAACCCGAATCATTTTCTGTAGAGCAGAGTCTGTAGGTGGGAGCGCAGGTGGTACCTCCGGCTACTTTGAAAGGGCATCCACCATGACGAAGTGAGAGGCTCTGTCGATTTGGTGTCGAGGTGAAGTTGTAACCGGAACTTTTCTGGCTTAGGCCAAGGTACCGGTGGGAATTTTTGCGAGTTCTTTACTGCTTGCTGACAATGCCGATGGGCTTTAACAAAATTGGTGACATTTTTGTCCATGTGTAGTCAATAAATAAAACTTGGCGATGGACTTCATGCGGCTGACGTCAGGATGACCAGTATAAAATTGGTGAAGAGCCCCCAGACGTAGTGACTTAGCCAAAACAATACGATCACCAAACACTTTACAGCCTTCAGCGATGCATAATAAACTATAGCAGTGGAGTAGTGATGTGAGATTATTGCTGGGTAAGAATTTCACACCACTCTGCGACTTCCCATATCTCTCATCCCGTACTTTAAGTCGGGATTCAGTTGCAGTTATTTCCTTTTCTGGAGTCACTCTACCCTACAGGATTGATTATACAAGAATGCGCCATTACTGCGTTTGTCCATTGGTGCTAAACATTGACCGCGGCTCATTTTGTTCATTCCCGCATTATGAAATGCCAAAATGGGTATTTTCGTGCTTGTTGGAGGGGATCTGCGCATACGTGTATGCACGTATGTATGCATGGGTTACTAGGCTCAATTGCTCATTCTATTCGTTATTTTTCCTTGATTACTTCAACCCTGGGTGATGGGGAGAGGAGAAAGCACGTAGTGAAGCATTTCTCTTCTTATCCCGTTAAAGATACGCAGTGCTTGCGAGCCACAAATTTCGAGCCTGTCCCCGAATTGAATGCAGTAACTCTGACTGCCCGAATGCGGCCTTCTGCTACAAGTGCCGAGGGCCCTGGAGCACTGATGGTTGTGATCACATCTGTCATAAGCCAAATACTGCCGCTTCTACATCTGTTGGAGGTGGGACCGAAGGCACCAATAACCTCATCGACAACCATCGATCTCTGCTCTCACGACTCCAACAACTGTTCCGCCTCTCTGGTGCCGTTGCAGCCCCTATGGACGCCGCAGTAGTGGTGACAGTAGCGGGTGGAGGTGCTCAACCAAAAACGGAAGCGGATACAAGTGGTGATTCCAAGGAGGGTTCAGGGAGTCAGGTTCGACGTCTCTCGGAACGGCGCTTCTCCACGCCCGCTATACCGGTCCAGGCTGCTGATGCTATTGGTGTGAACACCGACGATGAAGATGATAATGGGCCAGTGGATCAAGAGTAAGTATTCTATATTACCTACTTCAACGCACAAAGGTTTGAAACGCTATTTTCGTGATCTCTGGCCACGGAAATAAGCTTTCCTGTGTTTTCTAGTGCTGGTTTAATTAAATTTTGCGCTTCAGTGTCCGCAGGTTTACTGTTTATCTTTGTGCAACCAGATTCGAATTTGAACTTTGAACAAGCTGTGCTTCTCATAATTTGAAGTCTTGGTTACCCTACGCCTCAGTAAAATGGGGTGGTCACTTAAGATACCTGAAAAAAGAAACTTAAAGTACATTGATATGTTTACCTCTGTGCCCTACTAGTTGCAAAATTCGCCTGTTTAACTAACCATTCTGGGGGAATGATTGACCATGCCTATCATTACAAAGTTTGGATTCTCATACTAATTTATCGTATGATCGTTCTTGTTAATCGTGTGCAAATTTTTATTAAAATATTTCTTCCCAAAAGAAATTCGCAATTTCCACTCAACTAACCGATCAATCCAAGTAATTTTCCCAATAGGATATCAGATAACAACTAAACGGAAGCTTATTGTATCAAGACAGGTCGCTTGCCGTATAAATGGTCCCTCATTAAATTTCAAAACGTCTGGATTGACTTAGCATTAAAGTGAATCTCATTAGTCGTTAAAGCGTAAGAATAGTCCACTTGGCACTTCACATTCTTGTTTAAAACACTGGTAAACACAACTTGATGCGTAAATGATTAGCTGTCAGTGATCAATCGTAGATCTTATCATACCCCTACTTATTTTACAATTTCTTTATATTCATTTTTTCTAGAGTAGACTTGTGGAAAGTATGCGTATTTAGCATTGAAATCAGCCAATCAGAGCCGTCATACTATTTGATGTGACGAACTGGGGAAGTGAGTGTAATTGAGAGGTAGAGAATTCACAATGTGAAAGAAGGCAGGAATTTTAAAGTGATTTTTCTACACAAACACATACACACACTCCCGCAAGCATAGAACACGCTGTAAGCTAAGGCAAGCTAAATATGGCAAGAACGCCAATTTAGTTAAAAAGCCTTTTTCTGGATGATGCTGATGATGTTGTGTGGCAGTGTGTTTGATTTTCATCCATAACCATGTCCCATTGTGTGCTTTAGCGTGTGTTCACGCACACCCACGCACAAACTGACTTTTTTTTACAATAAACATCCAAAATAAACTTCCGGCTCTGGGCTGTGTCATAAACAGACACACTTGACCAGTTCCTACCTCCGTGAGAGCCATGCTCGAGCGAGTGGTTTCGCCTTGGACTTATGAAAAAACAAGATCTACAGTGCCCAAAAACATTTTAGAGCCCAATAGTTTGGAAGTAGTTTTATTATACATGCTGGGAAGGTACAGAAGACAGGTAGGAGGCTGAACAGACTGCAGTGAAACGAGGGATTAATTCGCGTTATGGATGAAACCTATACCATTATTTCATCAAATATGACATGCTTGACAGTGGATTCGACAAGAAAGTCTAGTACTGTTGTTCAGGTGGTTGGTACATCAAAATTGATATTATTTTAAATTTATAAGAATCACTTTTAGCTGCACATAAAAATAAGCTGTTTTTTGTGCCGACTCTTCTAATCCATCTAGAACTGCGGATAATTTTTGATGGATCAATGTTGCTGAAGTAGGAACGTCAAATCTTGATGTTTCCTTTCTATTGCTGCTGTTTTTGGCTCTAGAGTACTTTTTCTCACACGGTTGACATATTTTTAAGAACAGGACTTCTTACTTAATCTGTTAGTTATGCCTGTCATCAAGCAATATCCCTTTAAGGTTTCCATCTACTTACATTGCGGCATTGTGACTCCATGATGAAACTCAGGTCCGAACACATCGAAAAAGGGAAAGTCTGTTATCGTAAACTGAAGCGCATATTTTTTTGGATGAATACCTGATGTAGTTAAAGTATTTGCATCTCACCAAAATCCCTCTTTTTTCTCTCGATCATTCATTGGTGAAGCACCCTTTTCCTTCTCTCCAGGTACAGTTCATTAGTTGTTGTTATTAACACAATAAATCTGTTTTTAACCGATCACATATGGGCTTTTCAGGATATTTTCTTCCAGATTACAATGCGAATTATGAAGCTCATTGCCTTAAGCTTTATGCAGATGTCTCATACTTTGTCTCTCAGCATTAGGCAGGGATGAAAGTTCAGGGACGTCTGTCCCTGTACCTCTGAACGCCTTTAGGTCAATAACTGACAACTGACGGTGTGTTTGAATTGTTGTGTACCCTTGATCTTTGGAATATCCAACCATATTTACGTCTCCCACTGACCAGCGTCTGTTCTTTTACATTCTTACTATACCACCCGGAGAATTGCTTTTTGTTACAACAAAATGGCAGCACGTGGGAGTATTGAGAAAGCTGAGCCTGAATTGTCCTTACCTTACCTTACCTATAGCATTCTCGAGGCAGAGGAGAAAACAAACCCCTACTTAAAGTACTACCGGTAGGTCAAGTGGTGAAAGACAAAGGCGCGGGGCGTGCGGTTGAGTTGCGCGTCGCCAGATGATTTGATATTATTTTAGCCGACAATCCCCATACCTGTCATTAGTGCCACTATAAGAATGCCTTTTTTGTCATTGAATGCCAAATATTAACTATTTCCCCATGTATTCATATGATTTTGGTTAGTCTTGGCTTCGTGTAGGTGCTTTACCACATGATGCCCACGTTCCCATTGTAATTGCTATGCTGATATATTCATTTATCCCGTTAAGTATAGTTGATTCATTGGTTAATCTATAGTGTTTAAAATTACCAACCATTATGCACACGCACGAAAAGTAATGGTTTAAAAAGCGGTAGGTTTCAAGTGTAAAGCTGCGTGTTGCTAGTTGACTGAAAACGTGATGGAAAAGTGAAGGCTTGCCAAATCACTTTTCACAAGCATGTCTGTTTGTGAAGATATGTGTGTGCGTCACCAAAACACCGAACCGCGAATGAAGTAGGGAAAGGAGTTGATAATGCACATTGTTGGTAAGTAATGCAATCAACTCGAGACCGATACTGTAGCCCAAATGCTTTAGTGATTCGTTCGTCAAACGGTAGATCTTAGTCTTCTTCAAGGCTTATGGCGATGTTTCTTCTGTAACGCTGTGAGTAGGGATGGATTGTCATATCACAGCTATACTTGTTGGCAATCCTCTTAACGAAACTCCATACACATTGGTCTAAGTGGTCCAAATAAGACCTAGAGGAGTTAACATAAAATAATTATCATTTCTGCGTCTTGCAAAGTAGCCAAGTCCAACGGAAACACTTGAGGTCCACCATGGGTGACCTTTAGCATCTGAATGATCTTACGACCTTGTGGGAAAAAACTACGGAACACGATACGGTTCTTGTTTATTTGTTCCGAATTTTTTTGACGATATCTTGTCCTCATTGCATAAATGCCATATTTTTAGTAACATGTAAATGTCGGTAAGGAGAAATTCCCTATCATAAAAAGTTGCCATCTGGTGACATTTCAGAAAACTGGAATTCACACAAACACCTTGATTTGTAGTAGCAACGGCAAATCGTTTCATCGACTGCATTTGCTTAGAAACCGTAATAAGGAGGCAAAGCCCCGTCAGGACCTGAAGCCATTGTATCACGTCTCGTAGGCGAAAACGCCTAATTCACCAAGTACCAACGAATCGCAGGGATGTTGTGTTACTGATTGTGCTACAAACACTCGTGGAAGGTGATTTTGTGCGCAAACTAGGGGCATCATTCAAAAGGGTAATTTGTTATGGCTCTGCAGTAGCACAGTGTCCGCTCCTTATCAGTTTACGACTTGTCAAAAGGCACAAAAGATGTTATTCTTATAACTTAGGCTTGTTTTTAGCTCTGAAATAAACAGACAAGTGTATGTGTGTTAATGTTGCGCGCTTGAACCGCCAAACCTTACGAGAGTCACCTCATCTACAAGTACCCCGAGGTGTTGAAATCGCCTCTCCAACTATTTCGTAGATAAAAGCAATGTGACACTAAGTGTGCTTATGCACTTGTTACACAACTATTAAACTATTGGTTTACAGTCATACTTACCCCCAAGGGATGGTTTTTTTTTATTTTTTAAGGTCAAGAGAAAGTGTCTTTCTGCATACTTACATTTCTTTTTTATGGCTCCATTCCATTCCAGATCTGACGTAGATATATCGAAGGTCGAACTGGAACTCCCCGATAATTTAAACGGTGAGTGGCGAATTGCTTTATCATACGTGTTTCAGGTAAGAAAATAATTAACATTTTCAAAAATTGTTTGTTGAAATCCTATGATACCCTTCAAAGGTGTAGCAACTAATTTCATTTGACTTTTGTTAAGTATTTGGCATGTCATCTGCCACTGTTATTTCCACCTATACTCGAGTGCCTCGCAAGGGTCCGCTTGCTTAATCCGTGTGGGGAGAACCCATCCCTGATTTGTTTCAGTTACTTTAGCATTGCTGGAGTAGTTGACTCTGTCAAACTGTGCGGTTCCGGTCTAACGTTATCCATTTTAACCTTTGTGAAGGTTTAAAATCGACAACTAAGTTGGAACTTTATCACTCAAACAATGAGTCAGCGTGTTGACGTTTGGGTTAATTAGTAGCTCTCTTCAACGGACAACTATACCATTCGTGATAGTTCGATTAGTCTGCATATTTTTCAATGAAAATTCACCAATCACAACTCAGGATTGTGCAATCCGGATCATAAAACTTGACAACAGTCAACGCTCAAATCGAGTTGTCATAAAGGGGATCGAACGTTTCGCTACTTAGTTTCTATCGTTTGCGCGTCAGCAACAGTTGAGGTTAGAATGGCGTACTTTCACTGAAGTGGAGCCTCACTTGTCATGTGATTGTATCCACGCACCACCAACTTATTCATTCCTGTGCAAAGGGAAGCTATACAAACGTCCCTGTGTGATGAGTGAATTTGTTACAGTCACAGATGGCAGATTTAAATGGCTTTTCATCTCATTTTAATTCTTATAGGATAAATGGTGAGCTGACTTTTAAGTCATTGGGCAACATTTGCATGGAAAAAAGGGACAGGCAAACAAATTCGACTCAGTTCACACCTCCTGCGCCTCCTTTATTCGTTTGTGGCGAAAAACAGCTCGTGAATAAGCCAGTAACAAGGCTTGAAAAGTAGTCGTCGGTTGGATTTTACCTCCATTGAGGAGAAAAAGAAGTCTTTTTTCGACTTTTTATCGTCTCCATTTAAAGCCCTCGTTTTCATGCGTTTGCAATCGCGTTAGTGTCATCGACAATCCCAGTTACTCTCCCATGCGTCGACTATTCTTTCTGGGTGAATATAAATAGCTTTGCGCTGCGCCTTGTCTCTTGGGTAGTTGGATAAGGGAGGGGCGGAGATAGCCGTTGTTCCTTTCCCTTTTTAATAATTGCGCATTGAATTTATATTGGCCCAAAAGTACACCCTACCAGACCTATTTTCTTCAGATGCAAACTGGAAACCTCTGACCAGTGAAACTGTTCATTTGAAATTCACCGATTTAATGGGTCCGATTGGGCATTGCTTCTTCCGTGTTGCGCACCATTGGGCGTTGCTATACCGATCCCTTCCACCTTTGAATGAATGCGTAATGCTGCTTCCTTGTGTTTGCAGGTCAAGTAAAAGCGTGTCCTCGGTGTAAAACCTTGCTGCTGAAACTCGATGATGGATCGTGCAATCACATGAGCTGTTTCATCTGCGGTTGTGAATTCTGTTGGCTTTGTCTTCGTGAGGTTCGAGACACCCACTTTCTTAGGTAAACAGTTCCCACTCCAAATGTGCCTACATTTTACCCTGAATTGTTATTAAATCAATCTCATGTGATCTTGAAGTGATGTCTTAAAATAAATACGATCTTTTTAGGGGTTATTTTGTTGCAAGAAACAACTAATTATTTAGAACAAATAAAAACAGGACCAAAACTCGAGACCAGCTGTTCTAGAATGAGTTTATTTTGAATGAGATAAATGACCTCTTTGGTATTGTTAAAGCAGGACTGCCTTTTTAATCAACCCTTCCTCTCAATGCTCTCATGGCCTTCTCGTGGTAACGAATTGAAGTGTGCATGCCCCACGCATGAAGGAGGTTTCACGATACTCATTTTACCAAGTCGTGGGTTTTTTTTGCTGTGAATCAACTTTCCAAGAGCCAAGAACGGTGGATTTATAGTTTGAGCTTAGCAAAAGGGCACATAGGACGATCTTTTGTTTCGATAAAACCGATTCATGATGAATCTATCCCACCTACTTTCGACTAGGTGTTGTTGCCATTTCAGGCTAGTGATTTTTGAATGATTCGGCTTGATGTTCTACCAGGCTTTTATTCTAACTCATTCCGTGGAAGAGGCATGTGTTAGTGGCCTATTTTGACTTACTTTGTGTCACCTTAGAGGCTTATCATGAGTGGATGACGCATGAGGCATTGTATAAAATCACGTATTTTCATACCCTTAAGTTTCTCGCCCAAAAAAAACACGTGGGGACGCATTCGGGTGTGGACTATCTTCTGGCATTTGAAATCCCAATTGGTTTTAATTAAAAGCTATTTTTAAGCTGTTTGCTGCAAATTGAAACCCGAAAATGCATAACTGCCAATTACATAGACTTCTAATCTAGAATGCTGAACTGAATTTTTCAAGGTGAAATGTCAGTCATTACCAGCTTTGCAGAAGTGGAATCAAATGTAGAAATTTTAATCCACAAATTCACAGTCACTTTGTGCGTTATCTTCAGGCCAAACGTTCGTTGCTGTGCTCCCAAATGATGGGTTTAACATCGTCCAAGTGAATGTAATAACCAACGATCTAGATGTAGTAATGCTGCTAAATGGGCTCCCAGTAATGGTCAATTTACAGCAGTGTGAATGTATTTGCCTGCTAGAATCCACTTTCGTTGCAATGTAGCACGGGTTGCCTATCTCTGTCCCTAGTTAGATGTTACATGGACTCGTAATTTCACTGGTATTTTCTTTAAATTTTCACTTTGCCATACTTGTGGTCGAGAGGACCAAATGTTGGGATTCGTTTCAATTACGCGGGCCAATGCATGGTCAATTTTAAAAGAGGCCACTTTTTGAGTTAGAATAAAGGCCTGGTAGAACATCAAACCGAATCATTCAAAAATCATTAGCCTGAAATGGCAACAACACCTAGTCGAAAGTAGGTGGGATAGATTCATCATGAATCGGCTTTCTTTTCCCTTAAAGTCCCACAGGCTGCACCTTTTGGGGCCGTAAGCGATGGCCTTTCCGTCGACGAATTTGCGCAATGCTGTTGGCCGCCTTCGGTACTCCCTTCATCCTCGCCATAGTAACCGCACTCGCTATGCCCGGCATAGCAATCGGCTTTCCTGCCTACCTTGTTTACAAGGTCATTTTACTCCCCATCGGTATTTAACTTTTGCTAATGTGCTCGCTGAAATAAAACAAGTAGTTGGTTTTACGCATAAATCATTGATATAAAGCTTAACCTATAGAGCGAAATGCCTTTGCATTACTGGTCGAAATACACTAGTTTTAATACTTTAAAGTGTGGCTCTTATTAAAGTCGTATCTTGAAGTTTGAACTTGTGGGCCTCTTCTTTGCTCATCATTTGGTACTATTCCAATTGGTTATCTCGTAAACATCTTCACTACTAGCGTCACATGCGACGTATTCTTTACCACGTCATGGTAACCGGTTGCACTAGGTTGTGTATTAAGCAGATTAGTTAATTTTAAAATAATAGTGTAAAGTGTATTCTAGAGAATAGCTACGTTGTGGTCTGTGGTGGTCAATTTTCCCCAGAAACCCTAGTAGTCAGTTTTATAATGGTTACTTAAATTTTCAGTATTTTTCCTGACTTTTTAGGTGGGTCAAAATGTAAAGGGTAGAAAATGGAAACGTCTTCTTCTCAAAACTTTGTCTTTCTTCGGAGGTCTCTTGGTTTCCCCAATAATTGCAGGTAAGCCCCCTCACGGTGTTATTGTCATTAATGTTTTCCCTTTCCTTCACGGAGGACTCAAAGTTCATTACATGCTGCGAAAACATCCGCGTAAAATTGCAATCAGATAATCTCTGAATGAAATGTACCAAACGCAGAATTTGAATTGTGGGGTCCGATGCAAAAGCAAACTGCTGCCATCAGTCATCATTCTTTATTTTAACTTGACATTAAATGATTTATGCGTGAGCGCAGACATTATCAAGCTGTGAGAGTAATCGGGAGACAACGGCTACAGGAAAGGAGATCCTTAATGCCAACTTACAACCAGAACTCCGCATCAGCATTCCCCCCCTCAGGACTGGACACTGAGACATGAGCCGGTGGCCTGTGATCTCATTGTGGATATTAGCCTACTTAGGGTGTCCCCATATCGATATTGACCAATCGAGGAGGACTCAGCCAGAGCGCTCGAGAAAAGAAAATTTGCGGAAAATTCTAAAACTTCGGGACGGAAGCGTCACTTCTGGGGATTGCAGCCACCCCCAGAACAATCGGACATTCGCGTTCATTCACCATTTCGGCCTTTTTTGAAGGATGAGTAAGTAAGTAGCCAAGCTATTTTCAAGTACAAATTTTGCCGTCAAGCCAGAGGATGTTGCTCCGCGCACAGTTTGAAAATTTGGTTCATGTTTTGAGTTAGAATTTTCAAAATGGTAGCCCTGCAGGAACTCCCAGCTAACAACTCCATCAAGCCCTGACAGCTGTTCCTGCCTTCAACTTGGACTGTTTCGACTCGCTATTGATTCGAGAAGTTCGGACTATTTTCGAATTGGAGTTTCGTCGTGACACTGGGACACGAGTAAAGAGTTCGATCGTTTGTTTGTGTGAGTAGCTTCAAGCTGACAAGTCACTTCGTTGCTAGAACTGGGTTGCGTGGGAAACCAATGCAGACAATGATCAAACACACAATCTAACCGACACGTAGGTGCCATTTGAACCCACAAAAAATTCGTCATTGTGACCCATACACCTTCTTCTATCAGGACTGGTGGCTCTCTTCGGTATTCCCCTGGTGCTGATCTACGTCTACATCTTCATGCCTATCACCCTCTTCTCCGAACTGAAAGTGCGCCTCAGTACGGACTCGACGAATGCCCCGGACGTTGACCCAGAGGTAGGGTTCAAGATCAACTGGGATCGCGTAGGCGAGTCCGCCTCTACCTCCTCCTCTACTGTCACTGCTTCCGTCGATACCTCGGCACCGGACGACAGTCCCAAGACGACAAAGGCCTCCAAACATGCCCAAGCACGGTCCACAAAGTCCCTTGAAGTGCTCCACGAGAGAGCGGCGGAGTTTGATCCGTGAATGCTGTCCTGCCACAGGTAGATATCCTCACCGATGCCTCTATTCGTGTTGAGACAGATTCTACCCTCTCCCAGTCTCCTCCATTCAATTACTGACGTGTCTGCCGGCATAACGAGTCGGCGGCCAGCCACCCACCGAGGAGCAGAATGCCTGCGGGCTTTACCTTATTTCGCTTTTGTTACGATAAATGACTGTTTTATTCGGCTTTATTTTCCTAGTGTGTTTCACGAATTGTCAGGTTTGTTTTTTTCGGAGAGAGAGGAAGAAAAGTTGCTGCGGCAAGCTATTCAACTAAAAAATTGTTTTCTATGAATGAAGCTTAAAGTGCGACATGTCATGCTATGCTTCAATACGTTGCTAATTCCACCTTCTTGACTCACTTTTTTTTAGGTCGGCTGGCATTAAATAAACCCGGAGATGTAAAAGACGAAACTACAAATTAGTAAGTTTGTGTAAGACCTGATTAACTCGCCAATTTGACTGCCGTATTCAGCAATCGTGGGTAGTACAGCCCGTGTTTTTGTACAGGGGTGCTTGAAGTACCGATTATGCGATTTACCGTAATAGAAAGTTCAGAGGGGTCGCAGATGTGCTGAGCCTGTGTTCATTTGGTGTAATCAAATGAAAAGGGTAGTCTCTCAGACCTATGGAGTCAGTTTAAAGCAGATGATGGATAACATCACAAATCCGAGGACTTAATGAAGTAGTGAAGGCATGAATACTTATTTCCAATAAAAGTTTGAACAGAAAGATGGTAACATTGGAATTTGGGACAAAAAGTGATCATACTGAAACCGGTAAGGACAGTAGCTTTCATTTAAATCATATAAAGCCTTTGTTTGATAAGATAGTACCACACGATGAGGTGTATGACACAACTGGCTTCGTCATTATAGGGAGAAAACAATGCGAGGGACGAGAGAGTGACTCAGTAAGTGATTTACCCCGGGAAAATGGTTTTGTATGCAAGTTTGTCTGCACTCTATTGCACAATTTGACGCAGGCTCTGCACGAAAAGCATTTTTGGCAAGTAACTCACCAATTCTGACGTAAGCATGACACATATTTGATTTGAAATGACTGAAACAGAGGCGTCATCGAAAGATCATTCAAGACGCCAACTCGATGAATTCATTCGGTGTGGAAGAGTGAAGTAGGAGGTTATGGATTCACTCTCTACACCGACCCACAAAAGCACTTCAAAAACTGAGACTCGACTAGTTGTATGCAATGGCAAGGGAGCTACTGTTTCCTGGCTGGGAATGGACTTCTTGTCTCACCTCGCTAGAATCGGTCATTGTTTTTCCGAGACATGTTGGAAGCGTTGGGTGCAGAGCGTTATGGCAAGTTCGGAACGGGAAATTTATTGTAAAAAATCGTGTAGAAGTGTACGCTTTGGATGGGATTAAACAGTTAACGGACGGTTAGGTATTGCCGTAAAGTGACGGGTAGTTGTGACACCTATAATACCACTTTTTAGTCACAATGGTTTAATACATCAAGTCTTATAAATAATTTGAACTGGAGATCACATGGAATGCGGTACCAGGTCAGTAGCAAGTGGGAGTAGTAATTGATAAAATTATGGGAAAAATACCCTTATCAAGTGGTATCGACGCTGCTTAATCGGGTACTATTTGGGCGTGTTCTAAAGTTATCATGAAATCCGATTTAATGAGGTAAGAATCGTGAAGGATGAATGTAGCTACTGCGGGATATATTGAAGAAGTGAAAATTGACAAGTGTCAAAAAAGACATTATGAGGAAGTGCAATGTCACAAATGAACACCTAAGAGTGTCGCCTAACCAGTCGCTCCCACTCATTTACTATTAGCTTACGGAGCGCATGCATGCTGTGTGGGGTCGAACCCTCCACTGCTGCTGGCGATTGGTAAGCCAATTCGTTATTTGATCCTGCCCACTACACACTTAGGCTTCCACTGAGACAGCAGATCAGGAAAATGCAAGCACATGCCGCTTAGAGGAAAAGGGTTCAGATTGCGATTGGCCAAGATTTGTTTTGTTTTACTGACTGGTTTAAGGATCACGGGCACCCCCCTTTCCTACATGTGGTTTGAGGGTATGGCACTACCGTTGGAAGTATGAAATGATGAGAAGGCGAAAAGTCCCATTAGGTGAAGGATGCACTCAAGAATTACGTAAAATATACACAGTAATAATGGTAAACGTTGACCTCGACTTGCTTTCAGGAGGACTTGAGGTGATCGGACCAGAGAATAAATTTTGCATCTACAATGTAAATCGGTAGGTTAAAGGTTGAATATTCACAAACGGGGCTATGGGCAAAACAAAGTTCGCTCACACATAGATGTAAGGCACTAAAGTTGGCGTTATTCACCTAGAGTTTGTCCTAACAAAGATGCAGTCCATTTGAAGTCTCTCTTTATAATGTGCTAGAGACGGAATCTGTGCATAGTCAAAGGTGGACAAATTCAACGGCTACGTATCGGGAGTCGCTGCTTTCAACCTTGATTGAGGGCACGTACACGTAACAAACTATAGCAGAGGTTTGATTTATTCCATTTTTGGGTAATAAGCGCATGAGTGGAACAACACCATTATTCCCCAAATCACAATTCCAGCCGTACAAAAATACGTTAGGTCAACGAAATACCCACCTCCTTAGTCATCAGCTTTTAAACTCGTGAGTAAGAAACTCAAAAATTCCTACAAGACCAACTAGTGGAAGCAATTGTCTTGTTTTCACCACCTTTAGTCAAAAGTTTTGGAACTCAGACAAGCACCTAAGTTGCCCCGACCCAAAAATTACTCGAAAACGCAATTCGGGACCTCCTACTCACATATATCAAGGCAAATTGCGCGAATAAGTTCCATATTTATTTAAGTTACGTGCTTGTGAAATCTAGCAGAGGTACCTGCCCGAAACACATACACAACTAACCGGTTTACGCTAAGCGCCAAGGGCAAAGGTAGTTTCAAAACCACGTCTTTTTAAGGCAGGGTTTATAAAGCAGACGTATCAATCGTTGACAAGATTTAAGATACATAGTTTATAGATTTAGGGTCTACGTAGTAGGAAAAAGTGGGTTGAAGCTGCTTTGACCAAAAAAGTAAAAGTATAATATGGGCTTAAAGAAAATGTAATTCTGAAGTCAAAAAGCCAAAATAACAATGCCTCTACTAATTCTTAAGGGTCACAATTTATTTCAAGGGCAATTATTCTTTCGATTTTGATAACAATTTAACCGTTATATTTTAATATGTAATTTGCCGGAATTTTTGTGTCGTCTATGCAATTGTGAAAACTGAGTAAAAACCGATTCAGCAATTATGACTTGCTATAATGGGTTACAGTGGCACCTTGAGTCTTCTCTTAAGCTGTATCAGGACACATCGAATAGAATCGGTAGCGCCTCTGGACTTTCCTAATTTCGAAAGAAGGCAATACGGTGGGATTCGGAGCTACCGGCATAGCCTTGATGCCAGCCAGCTAGTTAGCCCTCACGGCGAAGGCACAATAGTTAAGGCACCAAGTGTCCCGGCACCAAAGCCGAGGGCTGAATAATTAAGGTTTTGCAGAAAGTCTAGTATATGGGCACAGCTAAAGTTTATACCGCCGAAGCTGGGACACAACCCATGGATATTAATGGGCTTGCAAATTTCAAGATTCATTTAAAAATATAAGTTTACTGCCTAGCTCTCCTTTCTTTGGGAGTTTTTCCTGAAGCTACCAGTGTTCACTCTTATGCCTCTTCCATAATAAAAGGCGAGACAGGACCAAAAATAATCCAATGAATTTGCCTCATAAAAAGAAAGCCATAGATCTGGATGATTTCCTTAAATAATGAGCTTCCTACAAGGATAACTCTATCAGATGAGAATTATTTGGCGGATTGAGCCAAAGGCCAGATGATGTTTGACAGCAAGTTTGTAATGTAAGCTAATCGCACATCTTAGTAACAGTCGTCTAGGGGCAACATGAGAAAGAAATAACAGCATAGTTTTAGAGGGGTGTTAAAAGCCTTCTTCGTTTTTCACCTAGCCCCCTTTGGGAGTCCTCTTGCAAAGTCGAAGTTTGACATTTGCCTGAATTCGACTCCACTTTAACTCTTTCATAGTGAGCCCCAAAGATGCAGTCAATCACAGCAGATGATTCCCTTTTTGACGATTAAATTCAGTACCTAACAAATGTAATAATGATTGTTCTTAGCAGGACCAGGTTTGCCTGCTGGCTTAAAGTCTTCCTTTAAGAAATGATAAGGTTAATAGATATCGAAAACATTTTGTCATTATTATGATGAATTGGTTCAGTACATGCTATTAGATAAATGAGGTACTTAGCTAATGAAAGCAACTTTTCCTTTGAAGTAAAATAAACTACTTAGCCTCGTCACAATTTTATTTAACCACACAGGATTATTAGTTATCGAAGCCTAAAGCTTCTCCTTTCCACCCCTATGATAAAAGCTGACAAAATCCTGAGAAATTGAGGACAGGCAACTACCTCTCGATTGCTACTAGGGCTGAGTAAAATTAAAACAACCAAACTGGAAGACTTTAAAGGGACTAAGCTGCAAGAACTAACTCTTAGAAATACGTTATCATACTTGTTTAAAACAGGCGATAAATCCATACCGTATGATTTTTTAAATTGTAAATGCTACTGTACAGTGTGAGTAGCATCATCGTGCCAACGTCGAAAATTTTAGTAGGGCTAATAGAGGCAGCTACTTACTTGTTGAGCTATGAACAGGCATTTGGATGGCTGTGCATAATATTTTAAGTCAACGAGGGATAAGCTTTAACCAACCACTCACACAGAGGTCCGCTTCTTAAAAAAGTGCTTTGCTTAAAATAAAAGTGGCAGAACACGCATCCAGTCACCTTACGTCTGTTGTTGCGAAATTTGATGTGGCCAATATATAGAACTGATACATTTGGAGTTTGAGAGAACCGCTACACGCCTGTGATGTAGTTATGCAAGTTTTTGGATCAAATGGAAGAAAAAAATGTCTCCACATTCTGCTGTCTTTCGTGTTTCACTTTACACATTTGAGAATTTAATTCTCTTAGGACAGCGAACACGCATTTGTGTTGAAAAAAATTTGCTATTTGAGATGAATGAGAAAACCTATGAATAGATAAGTGGAACTAATAAGGATAAGGCCGTAACAGTATCTTTCAAACAAGCGTCGAATTTCAGCAGGTAATCTGATATTTAGCCAATTCTAAGTAAAAAAGTTTGAGTGGAAGTAATAAAACTGGGAAAACTAAATGTTTGCCAAGGAGAGCGAGAGCATAAACTATTTCCACGAGATGGTTTTGGTCTCTTTGTTGCGGTGTCAATGTTTACTCGTTTTCGATTGAGAAAAACATGTGTACATGGGGGAAGAAGATTTATTAGAGCAATATGCATATGCTAGAGCAAAGGTATCAACTAGATACAGTGATTTTTCAATTAAGTTACACCTCTGCACCTTATTATATTATATTAGGTGAACAAAAAGATGGCGTGCCATTCGATATGGTCAGCCCTAATGTCATGCAAAATTGAGTCATTGATATGCATCAACTCACCAATCTGCCCACACGGTACCCTTTATTATGCCCTCTACTACTTTTTACACATTTGTACTCACACACATAGAATGTCGTTGGTACCTGGTTGATGTGATTGAACACAGCTGAAGCTAATCTAGCCGAGTCAGCCCCAAAGCTGCAAAGGCGTCTCGTTCATTTTGCTGTAGAACCTTCGAAGAGGGTGTAGTATGCAGCAGAGTTAGTAAAACATTCTACTTAGGAATAAATTGGAGGAATATCTTTCTCATGAGTTTCGCTCCAGGATAGATGCAACACGTTTAGGGGGGCTATCTGTTTTTATTCACGAAGACGTAAGTGCTGCTACTGGCACGTTGAAAGAATGGGAGGCGCAAGTGACAGGATAACACTTTAGTTATATTTGAAGCCAGCAATGGCAAGAAAATTGATTTTTACCAGCGTGAGCAGCAATGGTGAAGTTATGGAAGCAACATAGAAACTGGGTCTCGCTCACATGTACCAACAACAGATGAGAGACGATAGGCTTCAAAGAGAGAGTGTGGTCTTCGCTTCTTTCACATGTAATGCAAAACGCCTGATTTAGGTTGCTGAATGAATGACTGACTCAACGCTAAACTGGTGATGAGAAATGGCTCTTGTTAGGCGAACGAATGCATCATTGGTTGTCTTAAAACGGTCCACTCACCACCCCACCCACACACAACTCGAAGACACGAACCACCTCATACTTCCGAGACCATGCATACTAAGTGTGCTAGTATGTGGTGCACTGCGGATACATTTGATCGCTTGCTGAAGTTAAGGCTCATCTTGTCGATACAACGTGGCGCAGGTGTGCAAGAAAAACAATGAGGATTAGTGTATCAGTGAATAAAACCCGCTTCTTACACTTGTGAAGATCCAAACTGTCAAAAAATTCACTAGCAGAATGGTTTAAGGCTTACAATAAAAAGAAATTGGAGCGGTAATAGCTTGCCTCATTCGTTATGTAATCGTGACCATTTCTACGCGAAGGTATGCAAAATAGGCTGGACATTAGAATTGCCATATTTTGACAGAAATAAAGGCAAAATTTAGTCTTAAAATATAAAATAAACGCTAAGCTAAAATTTTGCCAACACGCATCTCTTTTGGAGGCAAACGAAGACCTCCATGTTGATTATTCCAAAGAAGTTGATATTTTAGGCACTCCATGCAGCTACCTAATTTTATCTTATAATGAGGGTGCATACGCTTATTTAGGTGCTTGGCATTGCAAAGAGTGCAGGTTTCACCACCTTGCCTAGTTAGATACGAGCATCATTAAATATGCATTCTGCGTGCCTAATGAGTTTCCGCGTAAATTCTGCCACGACTATTGGATATTTCACTCAATCAAATGCAGCATTATTTACTCGTAGTCATAAAACAACCCTTGTTAATTAAATGCAATTTATAAACGACATTTATCCGTGGAATCAAACTCGAGCAATGAAATCATTCTTGTTCTACTAATTGGATCAAGTCTAACGAATATATTATTACATGTTGTCTTTCTTAAGAAAGTATTAAATTACCAAATGCTTAAAAGACTCCCTTTATTCTTCGATTTTTTTTTGCAGCAGACAGCGATTTAAGTCAATCCCATATTCTGGTTCTGCGGGAACATCTTGAATGGAAATTTACCACAGCCATAATCCACTTAATTACCTTTTTTTAACAAAGCTGCCAAGTCTTCGGAACTGAGTCAATCAGTCCCAAGTCGTGTACTTGTATTTGAATGTCCACAGAACTGATTGCGTCTAGTTGGCGGGATCACTCAATTACACCTTCGAGTTGCGCAAAATTCACATGACCTAGAGGGAGTTTTAGTGATGAAATAAACGAGTAAATCATATTTTGGGGTCATTTTCGCATACTTGTGGCGCAGGTTACACATTTCTAAATTGATGGTCAACGAACCTCAATGAATAAACCTTGTAGATTTTCTAATTTGTGAGAAACTAAATGATTGCACATTTGGGATGACCGCTTGGGCTTATGAATACTAAAGTGAGCACCAAAATAACCGACTGATGTCTATCCCCGTGATTCAGCCTCGGTGTCTATTATATTTGACCTTCCTAATGTCACCCCTGCCACTGGTCTCCCAGTTGTTCTTCATGTTGACACTAGATCCGCTTCACGATTAATGTGCCTTATAGAGCATTCAAAGGCGAATCAGGCAATATGGATACCTTCATTTTATTTAAAATAAAAGTAGTTCCTTAATAGCATGCCTAAACTACGCTTAAGGGTGCTTAGTCTATTGTATTGGCTGCGGTGCGGCGAGATGTTCCCCCAAGTTTAAAAAGGGAATGACTGAATGGACTGGTAGGTGACTACTCCTAAAGGTAGGTAAGAATCGACGTTTACTGCAGACAATTCAACCTACGCAGACGCATAACACAAAGGCCGCTAAGAGCCTGACTTTTGGACACCATCCCGAACTCATGCACAGAACATTTGAAGGGGCTGTTGTGCCCCACAAGAAGAATTGATTACAATAAGCTACAAGGAGTTGTAAACAAGAGTTTTTAAGAAAGCGTTTTAAGTGCCCCTTGATTTGGTTTGTCGGACGCTTGGTGGGATGGAGCTCTGATGATGCCACCTACGCCTCACGTGTCCGATCCCTTTTACCTGCTAACATTGTAGCTAACCTCAAAATTGTACACCTCATGAATTCATCTGAAGTAAGTCTACTATGGTCGCATAATATTTCCACCCTTTGGTGTTCAGAACAGCAATATTAGGACCTAAAAATGTCTCCGTAGGTAGGTATAATGTTACAGAATTGAATCTCCCACGTAAACGATTCTCAGGAAGTTGCAAGAGTCTAACTTCACCGGATTGCACCCACAAAACGCACCATGCGGTGGCTCCTATTAGAGATGAGATTTGTGAAAGATCAAAGTCCACAAATGTTTACCTGAAATAGATAAAGAACTCTTTCATTTGTTTTTTTATTTGAATGAACCCTCCCCTTACCCCGCCATGACTATATACCCCTTTTCAAAGAAAAAAACGAGCAATGTAAAGCGAATCAAAGAACTGTAATTTTGTACAGATTTAGGTATCGCATAGAAACGCTGGGAAAAAGTGTGAAACACACACACACGCACACACTTATAAGGCATTATTAAAAGGAAAATGGGAGTTAAAAGGACCAGTAGAATGTTCACAGCACATTGATCGGACGATGGAAGGCATTCCGAGGTTGATTAGATGATTTCATTGTTAAAATAAACATTAACTCCTCATACGGTATATTCGAAACTAAAAACAAAAGGCGGAAGGTTAATTATGGATGCTGACACCTCTTTAAATCCACCCGAACCTTTTTTTTCTAAAGAATCGGCCAACTTTATTCACTGGTTTGTTTAATCTGCTTGTCAAGGCAAACAGCAGACTACTTAGTTAAGGAGAAACAGAAGGAACCTCACAAAGGGCTGACGACAACTGAGAACAGACTGAACAAAAACAGAGGGTGAAGGTCATTGTATGTTAATAACACAGACTGACGACTGCCTGGCTTAATTAGCATTGCAACTTCAGTCTTGATTGAGGAACAGGCAAACTGCCACCGAGAGAGAGAAAGAGAGAAAGCTATTATGCTATGCAAATTATCGAGTGGGTAAAAAGTGATACTTTGCGTGTTAAACTCAGGCAGAACTGATTTATGCAGGAAACGTGCTCTCTCGTCTGCCTTAACGAGGAGGTGAGAGGGACGAGGTGGAAATGAATCACTGGTGCCACATCAACCGGGCTCCATTACAGGCATCAAATCAACGTCTTTTCAAGCCGTCATGCCACCTTTAATGGAGTGGACAAGTTACCAACACTATTTATGAGCCCTTAGTGTGTTTATCTCCAGAAAAGGCGACTTTAATGATTGACGAGGAACGAGGATAAGGACCCAGACGGAAATAAATTACTCCGATCTCATGAAAACAATTTATTCACTTAAAATTGGAAGGTGTTTTAAATTTAAACTTACAATATCAAAACTCTTACAAATCTCGGGGTTTATTGCTTACGGGATTGATAGTATCTACTTTGCGTACTTTACTGGACGTTCCAACTTCTGGAAGTGGTAACTCCATATATAGCACGAAACCATCTGCTCTTCAAAGTTCAAACAAAGTATCGAAGGAGCCAAGAAGTCGATTTTATGGCGTAGACGCATCAGTAACAAATCATGTGAGAATCCAGTCGTTCTGTAATGCTTCGGGCATTTGTTTAACCACGTTTTCGTTTCTCGGACATTTGAGGCTTCGCTTTTGTGTTACCGCCCGGTGGTACGGCCTCCGAGCCGTGTCGGTAGCCCTTAAACCCTTCTACACGCCGACATCATATACTCCGCCCGAGTATTATGTCTTCTCTCGCCTTTGCGTAGGTTTCAAAGTAAGGGAGAACGTGCAATGTCCACAAACGTTCGGAAGAAGAGGCCATGCACTGGAACCTCTCAAATTAGATGATAATGTCGGGTTAGCTTAATAATAAATCAATTTTTTGGAACTACCGGATAGTTAAGAAAGTATCCACGACCTCAGTTAAGTGATGCAATCTTATTTTGATTGCGACAGAGTGGATTTCATTCCTCAAACGGAGAATCAGGCATGCGTACTTCTTATTTAAAAATTCAAAACCAACTCTAATTTATGTTAAGGCACTCAGAAAACTCTTCCAGTTAGCCACAGAAAGCCTTATTCCAAATGTATTGGTATGGCAGAAGTTGTGAATGGAACTGCAGCTCGTTGAAACAAGTTAAGGTATTAGATTAGCCCGCATCTTCTCACTTCGACTGTCGGCGGTCCAGATTAGCGGTTTGCTAGGAGCTTAAAATAAAAATGCCATTTAAACAAGGTGGGATGATGATGATAGCGAGGAAATGAGGACGGACTACGGGATGTTCGACACAGATGTAAAACAGGTAAGCCCTGGGGATCATAAATGACAATAAAGTCATCTTGGTTACTTGTAAACTCTGAATTTAAAAACGTGGGAGTTGTTTTCTCTTAATGCAGTAATTTCGGTGGTTGTTGGGCTCCTGACAACTTAGAGATGGGGATGTGCCAGAATTTCTAAGTTTTAAAGGTTGAAGAAACCAAACTTATGGTTCATGACAATGATAGGTAGACCACAAATGACCTGAGACTATGATTTCATACCCTGTAGATGTGTGTCTTTGTGTATGAGTGCATGGTTGCTTGTAAAATTAGACAATCAGAATCGGGCCTAAGTGATGCTGTCATTGCAAAGTTGTTGTGAGTGCGATTTGGCTTAACAGAGTCGACCAAGTCTATCAATTATGGAGCTGATCATGACCCTTTGTATCATATTACACAAATCTAAGCAAGAAAGTGGCTTAAAATAACAACAGTAGAAACACATCATTTCAATTATGCAACCTCGAGAATTTGGTCACATATTTTGATGATAATACTGACTTGACATAATGCGTTCTACTATTGGCAAGTCATATTCCCTCGACACCTTGTGACTATCAGTGACAGGTCTGTGAATAAGAAAGATTGGAAAAATATAACTTTGGAAGACGATACCAAAGCCTATATATCACTTACTAATCAGATTTAGCATTGAAAGGACTATGAGCACGGGTGTCTTCAACCACGGGCCTAGTCCCTAGCCTAGGCTGTCGAGGAGTTGGCGACCCACCGGTGGGAGAGGGGACTGGCGCAGGGGGTTGTGAAAGTCGTGGTCCACTTGGTCGTCCAACAAAACTTGGTCTGGCAGCCACACGTCGTGTTGAGACACGTTTAAAACTGGATTTGCCACGTCTGACCTCGGTTCCACTATTGGGACGACTGAGGGATTTTTCACTGGCTTCAGAGCGCAAAGACTGGCCGGTAGAGGTGTTGCGACGACGGAAAGAGCTACTGCCATAGCTGTTCTCCTGCGCCAGTTGGTGCTCCGTACGAAAACTGGCATAGAAACGAGATTTAAGACGGAAGAACTGCTGCAATTTAGTTGGAGGTTTAGGGATACCGCGAAGACGGAAGAAGGCGTGGTGCTCCACTGCACACTTCCATAGATGCTTGCACGATCGAGTATCGGGCAGGACAAAAACAAAGGTGTGCTCCATGACTTTGCGCTGCCGAAGGTGAAAAAGAAAGCCAAATTCAAAGTCAAATCCCTCAGTGGAAAGGATTATCAGTCAGTGTTTGGGACAATGAGTGGGTTGCTTGAGGGCAACCTAATAGCATCTTCATTCGCTCAACGAAAGTTGGTACCCAGAGCTCGCTTCTCATCACAATTAAATACGCAAGTCAGTCAATGAACAGTCTGAAATGTGGAAGAGCGGGGGGGGGGGACTTTTTAAGCAGCAGATGGCAGGAGCTAATAAGAGCTGTGTAGTCTTTGAGGCCTACTTTCGCCGATTAATTTATGTGAGTAGAATCCGTTTGGTCCTCTCAGCTTCCATGCCATTGCCTTCCCATTTGAGGAAGGCGTAGACCAAGTAATTTATCAGTAGAGGATGCCGCTTTAATCCCCACTAGTTTCACTCTTCAATAGAAAAAAGTACTTCTCCATGAGGCACCTGCCTTAGAGAACGCCGTCTGAGAAGACGTTACTTAGGAGTTTGGCGGTTAAAAACACCGAATAAATGTCACTAGTACGTCACATCCTAGCAACCCCTATACAGTAATTGTCACATTCATATAAAACACTTTTTTAAAAAAAAGAGAGGCAAATAGACAGAAGCTAGGCCGACACAAGAAATCCTCGACATTGATGGTTGCATAGGTTACATAATCCCATTTGTAGCACCGACTTGCATATGCAAGTATTCGTAGGTATGTGTGGGCATGTGTATTTGCATGTGGCTAAGAGAGGTACCAAAGTTATTGACCTTCGGTGACACAGCTTGTTTAAACAAAGCCAAATCTTTGAGCAAAACTACCGCTGTCACTGACAAAATGCCTTACAGTGAGTCAAAGAGACCGTCCTACTGTGTATGGTGCGCGCTCTGGTGTGTAGTTGTTGGGCGCTGCTTCTCGGTATTTGCGTGCTCAATCTGAGAGGCAGCATTTGTACGTGTGTGTGTGTAGGCTGCTTTATTCTGCACCTATGACTGTGCGCAAACAGTGAGTGCCAAGCCGATGCGAAAGGCAAGCACTCTAGCACCATATAGCCAAGAACCAATAAATTGTAACTATAGCCTGTGCTCTGACGCCTTATAGCTGGATACTCGGTTTTCAAGGAGAGGTACTACGAAGACTAGTACAAATAATGTCCTAGGGTAGCCAAATAACTTCGTGCGATATTTCAACACACTTTTTTGAGGTGACTCGTACTTGTAAGCTGTATACAGTTGATTGAATGCATTTACAATAAGGCGTCGGTCTATCCATCTGTTGGTGCAGTACTCGCTACTGTGCTCCGCACCCATTTCCACGTATTTTGTGGTCTCATACGTATCGTGTTGGTTGTGCCTGGTTGATGTGATTGGACCTAGAAGGAGCTAGTTGAATCGAGTCAGTTCCACAGCCTCAAAAGTTTTTCGACCAATTTGTTGTTGAAGTTTGCAGCAAGAATGGCAGAACATGAGACCTAGAAACGATTTAGATAATGCGGTACTTTTGGTGACCTACTCAAAGATAGACGCTACCCTACGTTCAGAGGGACTCTCTATTTTCATCACGAGGACGCACGTATCGCTGATGGCATGTTGAAAAAATGGAGGGCGACATTGACAGGGAAAACTTTAAGTCATATTCGAAGCGGGTAATAACGAGATAATTGATTCATACCTAGTAACAATAGTAATGGTGAATTTATAGAAATAGCAAAGCAAATGGTTCCCACCCGCGTGTTTTAACAACAGGTGAGAGTGAAGTTGGAAGACTGTCAATTTGAATTTCACCGCTTTTCATATAGTTTATGAAAACGCACATTGCTGAATGAATATTATTATGACCTGCGAAAAGAAATGGAGAAAATGGGTTATAAAAACGAACACACCACAGGATATTCCCTAGCAATACACTTATCTCACACCTTTACGCAGAAGCCCATTTTCAAAAGATTAGGTTAGGTTTTTACTTTTGGAGGTAAATTGCTCAGTATTTATGGAATCTGAAGTAAGCCTGTATCGTGGTAGGGGGAAGACTATTAACCTTAATGCCTACTGTTTTAGCGCAGAATATTATAAGAGGCTTTCTGTACTTTCCTACGAGATACAGCTCGAACTTATTTAGATATCCTACAACATTACTTTGTAAGTACTTAGCCGATTTGTTGATTCTGTCCAATGTAAATAATTCTGCGTGCTAGAGAAGCAATAGGCAAATAACTCACTGCCTGCTCATTCTCTTCAGCAACAACCAGCTTCAATTTCTTGCCATGCATATCCAATTTTAGAATCATGGACCTATAAACAGAATTCAAAATATAAAAGGTGTTTAGGCATAAATGTAAAAAATGAGTGAGAAACATGTTTGGGAATTCCATTCGGAATTTCTATGCATATCAAGTAGATTGTTTGAGACGTTGAACAAAGTGATCTCCAGGTATTAATCAAGCAGTATGGCATGACAGATAAAGTAAAATAAGCTTACAAAGATGAATTTAACTGATGTGTGGAAATAAGCTGCTTTGTAGTCCAAAAAACCCTCTAATAATTTATTGGAGCTTATTATCATGGCAAAAATTCTTAAAGCACCAATGTAATATGTTGGATGGGGAAACGAACCTACGATACACCTAGAACTCAGTGCTTTTTTTGCCATTTTATGATATGTCTTTATTAAAACAGCTCTCTTTTCGGCAAGTTTCCATTTCTTTGCAAGAGTTCTATGAGGTTCAAGTATTAAAATTAAAAAGGAACCACATTTACGCACCACACAAATAATCCGATTTTTTGTTCTCCTTCATAAACAAGTATTCCAGTGGGTGTAAGTCCTAGAGTGTAATTCTCACTGTCTTTGCCCTAGATAAAAGGATGCTTTTAATTTTATTTTAATTATGCTCTTACAAATAAAAGTAGGAGCAAGTACCTTAACTAAATGCATGTCGACACCATAGTTTGGCAAAAATCTAATCCGATCCAAAAACATCATATCAGCTTCCTCTGGTGTCCACTCCCGATTTCTAGGTTAAATAAAAAAATAGTAAAATTGATTTTGTTGGTGAAATGTGAACGAGGGCACATGTACCTCAGTTTTTGGTATTCATGAAGAATAGCAAGTTCAAGTGTTTCCGTTTGACGTTCGGGAGGGTAGAATGGTATAGTTGATACAAAAGCTGGTGTGTGTTGCCGGGAGTCATAGGCACCAAATTCACCTTTAAAAAATTGCGAGATGAAATTTGGTCATAGGATCACCTAGTAGTAATATCACTCAATATGACTACATATTTGTATTCACGAAAGATTAATTATCCAAAAAGGTAGTACCTTGTAGAAGGAATGCAGCTAATTCGGCCGCCATCCGATCATCTGTGCATTGAAGGATTCCATGTTCCAGCTGCTTTCGCAGTTGAAGAACGTAGAGGTAGCGGGTGTATTCATCTCGCAGTTTTTGAGGTTCCGCAGAGAAAAATTTCACCCGCATTAGGAACCGAAAGGGAGGGCCCACTAAGCAAAAGATTAAGCACAACAAATATGTAACCTCGACATTGCTTTCGAATAAGTTTTGTTGGATCAACCCAGGGCTATACCAATAATTAGTGTGAACCAAGTCCTCACCTTTAATTTATTATCAATGCGAAGCCCGAAGTACTCACGCTCATCATTAAGACCGATAAATGCAAACGCCAGGTCGTACAATTTACTGCCTTCGGAATTTTTCTAAACCATTAACAAAGTAGTTCCTTACAGGAAAAAAGAATGTTGTGCAAGTCCCATCTATGTATTCAACAATACATTCTATATCCGTTGACTTTTTTCTACTTCCGTCAAAGGAGGTATGTGACATTTCTGCCACACCACTATGCTCTGGCCTCCGCCTACTTTTTCTCCACCTTCGAATGAAAAACCGAATAAGCGACTCCATCCACTTATATCGGGATATTTAGTGCCAGCGCCTTTTGATTTATTTACGTAAAGAGCTAGAACAAACATTTCAAGGCCGTTAAAATCAAAGTAATGTTGCACTTTGCTTGCCTCACTATTACTTTTAGTCGCGAAAACTTAACCCTAATACAAACGGAATCAAGGAATATGCAAGAAGCTTGCCAACAGGTAAGGCGCACCCTTATTAAAAACTGGAAAGGTTGCGCTGATTTTCAGATGTGCTTGCCAGAAATTAGGAAAAAAAATAGAAGTTCAATCTATCTAGCTACAGTTAGCACGGTAAACTTGCAAAAGATCAGAGTTTCTTGATGGTTTGACTAAATGCAGGGTAATTCTTTCCTCCCTTGCATAACTTACAATCATTAGCATGAATTGCGGCCCAACTTAGGCCTCTTAGTGCGTTACAAGTCAGCACTACGCCTTGCCTACGCTGATATGTTTTGGCTCAGTTTTAGAGGAGGCTCCAAACAGTAATTTTTCTAGAATGCGCACGTCAAGTACACAGAATTGGCTTGCTTTAAAACTATTGGTTTAATTTTTGTTTGTCGAGAGTATTAAAAGTGTAGATTAAAGAAAAACCGTTTTTTCAAATTAGAGGCATATTTAAGAAATAATTTACTGTCCCAGCAAAATGCAGACACCTGTAATTTACTTCAAAACAAAAATTTTTACTGACGTTACGCTCTGTTTTTGTGCAAACAAATGTAGAATTTTTCAATTATTTTTGTTGTTGTTTTTTATATCCTCTGGGTCAAGGTCTTTTGCCATGCATGACTATATCCTTTGGCGGGCTGTGTAGATTAGGTCCATTGATATGTCGCATGTGAGTTAACCGCAGGGTTAATCGAAAACTTATAATATTTATTTTAGTGTAGGTAAACTTTACAGGAAATAGATCTTTTAGTTGATCATTTGAGTTGGATGCGTGAGTTCTTTGTTGCATCACCAGTTTGTCCAGTTTATACCCCTTTGACACATCCCATGATCGGTAATTTTCTCGTAGATCTTTTGCATGTGTATTCATATTACTTGGTAATAAAATACCCTTTTTTTCACTTGACTCATTTTCTCATTTTATGGATATATTGCTTAAGGCGCTTGATTCCTTTCCGTAATGTCGTATGCTTGGTTATGGTACTTCTAATTGCGATAAATTCGATGTATATTCACTTTAATGCACATTTGTGTCCCTATTAAGGAATTTTTTTATTATTTTTAGATTTTTGTTGACATTCCTGGACTAATTATCTTATCCATTGGAGTAATAATTTACTTCTTTTTCTCGTCTTCACCATACTACGACGAACATCTCATTGATGGCTACAGCCTCACTGCATTTGGATCAAAAACTGCATACAAAAATAACGGTCTTAAATCTGTACTTCCGTCTCTACTCAACCGCAGGCGTTTCGTTCATGTAAACGCTCTCATCCGTCATGGGACGCGTTCTCCTGATAGCAAATTCTCGAAGAAGGTGGAAAAAATACGAGCTAGACTTCTAAAAGCGTATGTCTACCTTGCATTAATTTGTTAACACAGCAATTGTAGTCTCCCAGACGTGGACTTTTCTGTAAAGTCATGTGGAAAAGGCGACAAGGTTCTGTTATCATCTGGAGTTAAGGAGATCGAAGATCTTGGTCGTCGTCTGCGTGCGATCGTTCCCAATGAATTTCGGCACGCGTCCAACATGCTTGTAATTTCCAGTGAAACCGAGCGTACTATTGACAGTGCGAAGGCTTTTCTTTCCACGGTACGAACTCTTGCCTATTTGTTATTTATACCCTTTTTAAAAACTGGTAAATTATATGTCCTAAGTTGGATGCGATTTAGTTACTTCCCTTTGTCACTGGTTATTGTTTATTATGAGTGAAAGTGTTTTTTCGAGCAGATCACCTAGCCATTTTGTCACTCCTTTCCTGTAGTACACAGATGACAATGTAACCATCACAGAGGACTTTAGAAGGATTCGATTCTTTGCTGACTGCAACAATTATATCTCAGCTGTTCGATCGAGCGAGATTGCGAGAAAAGAGTTTTACAAGTTTCGGGATGGCAAAGAGATGCAGCGGGTACTGCAAGAGGTGGTCAGTGACCACGGCTTGGAGGACCTTCAACTAACAACAAGTAGGTTCTTTTTCCTTCCTAGCTTTTAACAAATCAATTCTTTCCCTGTACAGCGGATATCGAAAACTTATATAAAGTAGCCGCTTATGAAGTCGCCGCTATGGAAGAGGGCTCGCCACTCCCCGGATGGGTTCAGCTCTTTAGACCGGAACATCTATATGTTTTGGAGTATCTTCATGACCTAAAAGTATGTTTTGTAGCATTGACGGTACATACTTATTTTATTGTGGATTTAACAAAACTCTCGGTCGCTTATCTTCAGCAATCTGGATTTGATAACCTGCCCTTCATACGCTAATTTAAAAAGGAGTGGTACTATCTGCTTGTTCTGAAATGTCCTCCTTTCCCTTGTCTAAGTTAAAACTGCGACATTTAAGCCGTCGAATAAAGAGCATTTTAAATAAACCAATTATTTAAATAGGGAAATTGAAATACTTAAATTGGTTTTCGAAGCTTATTGTCACAACACTATCGTCGCCATGTTTTTTTGCAAATTTCCAACGCGATTCCACCGCGCCGTATTTTTGTATCTGGGATTTCACCCGTCATACACTGTGTAGACAGAATGAAAACAAAATCCGTCCTGCTTTTTCGGTTCCAACAAATGACCTTTTATGAACAAACCCTACTTCCCGATCGAGTGGGCTCTTGAGCTTTATGAGGTGCTAAATCTGGCCAGTTGCGAACGTCTGGAGTATTGCCTTCTAGACGACTTAATGACACCTATCTTTATCTTCTCTCTTCAATTATCAGCAGTACTGGACGAAAGGAAATGCATTCCCACTGAGCTATGAGCAGGTCTGCCCTCTCTGGGGTGCCATTATGGAGGACATGGTGAAGGCTGCCACACACGACCGAGACATGGTCATCGCTAAACGGTGAGTTGATTAAAGGCTCGCAATTACGCTTTTTTAATGAGCCACATTTTGGATGGCTTGATTTTGCATTTGGATTGGACCACTTCTTAATACGACATTTTTAAGCCTGAACTTGTGAATGAATGGGATGTTTGACTCGGCATCAGATAATCTTTATTGAGCTTTGGTCAGCGCTCCTATTCTACCCCTACTTTGGCAGTGACTGGCGTATGGACTGGATCGCTACGTGACTTGATGTCATTTGAATTTTATTTGGACTCAGCCTTAGCTTAACAACATTTTTAAGCTTGAACTTGTGACATGATTTGCATTCCCGGGTGGGGTAGGCTTGAAACCATTGAATGGATTAGGTGACTTGGTGTTACATGATCTTAACTGAACTTCAGTCCGTGTCCTTAATCCGCCCTTACTTCAGCATTGACTGATACAGGGGTTAAACCACTACTTGACCTATTGTTATGCGATTTTGACCAATTCTTTTTTTTGGTGGCCATGACCCCCAGGTCACACTTTGGCGATGTGTTAGCATGGCGACTATATTTACATCGCCACCCGTGACATTATTGTCAATGCTCGAACCAAATAATTTGAAAGACTATTTGCGTAGCTGTAGTGGTTATTTGGACAGTTTATTTGTGTCTAGAAGGTACTTTAATAACTTTTGCCAAGTTTTAATCCTCACTAGTGAAATCCCCCATGTTAAAGTTAATTTGAGGTACATGCCCACTTTAACCTCCGGAGCATATCAATAATGAAAGTTTATTGTCAAAAGTGAAGCAATCTTTAGATATATATTTTTTCACTTTTAGTTTTTACTGAAATTTGAATTTCATAGTTGTAATTTTTTTCTGTCGGAGGAAGGTAACAATACGTTATTTGAAACCGTTAGATTTATAATCATTTTCATATGAAATGCGTGAAAATACTTTGAAAAATATATTCTGGACATCAAGTGGTTATCTTTATCCTTTCTACCGCTGACTCAAACATCTTAAATGGCACCCAAGGTGCGGGCAGTATCGACAATGCATTTGTTGGGACCTTATGAATGCAGAAAGAATCAGTCCATCTTACTGACTAACTTCTTCCCAGAGACGGATACGATGTGAGTAAGCTGGAGAAGAAGTCCTCCCACCGCAGTGTCTTTTGGTTCGGTCATGCGGAAACCCTGCTGCCACTAGTGACGAAGTTGAATCTCTTCAACGAGTCCGTCTCCTCGGAGTTCGGTGGCGGGGAGCACTTGACCGCCGCGGGCTTCCAGTCGCGTTTGAGACGACTTCAACTGGAGGAGCTGCCAGTGCCGAATCTCTTCCGCTCCTCGCATATCATTCCTTTTGCTGGAAACATAGCCTTCTTCCTCTTCTACTGTCCCAATCTTAATGGTGAGTGGTGTGGGTCCCTAGGCCCTTTGAATTATTTTTAGCTGAGGTGTATTTTCTGTTTAGGAGGGTCAATACTGTACCTTGACCTCTTAGTAGTGTTTACAATACGTAGTTATTGGGTATCCATAGGGTTTTCGTAACTGACACTCTGCATTTACGAAATTTATAGAAAGCACTCATTTTTACGGTCCTGTGATATTACCTGGACTTTTAAAGTGTGCTAAATGTTTTTTTTGCCAATTTACGATAACCGATCACACCAAGCCATGTGTCCTTGATTTGACTGAGTTGAAGATAATGAAACGGGCGTATAATGCTCTTGATTTGAGGATAATTGTTTTTAAATTTTGGCTGTGGTGGTTTATTTCTTTTTCACACTACTAGCAAACGGATTGGATGACTTTATGGAACTATCCTAGCAGCCCACTTAGTTCGTGTCTTATTTTCCTACGGACAAGGTGAGAAGGTGTTAGGTTTATTGTACTTTTTCTCTTTTTACAGAGGAGCCCTCGTTGAACGACTACTGTCTGGAAGTGCGACTGAACGAGCAAGTAGTGGAGATAATACCCCAGGCGGATGGATTGCCACGACCTCTGCGGCTACCCCAAGTGCTGGCGCATTTCGAGAGTTGTCTGCCCTCGGCGTACAACAAAACAGCCCTTTGTGATCGACCTCTCAGCTCTCCGCCTTCGGCGTGAATTTTGATAAACTACGTAAATGTGTGTGCATGCATTTTTGTTTACGCCTAACTCGCAGTAGACTTGTGGATCGTTCTATGATTATTTTTCAAAGAAACGTATCAAGTATTATGAAGAGGCGTTCGTTCGTGTCTGACTAAATGTGTCATTTTGAGGGGTTCAGTGGTTTGGCAGTTTGGTGAAGGTTAAGCATGGGAAATTTTCCTTCATCGTCCAGTTCAAAAACGGTGTAAACCACTCATTTAATTGTGCCGAACATCTTATTGCCAGAACATGTAACAGTTTTTAAAATCAATAGACATTTCTATTAATAATCATTAAAGGAACCAATCAGGTATGAATTACTTTTCTTAATCATTTAAAGCAGTTTTTTGTGGTATATTTAGCCGCCAAGAATCTTACCTGATACACAATAGCTCGATGGCAGCCGTTGTCTACTGATCTACGTAATTACTCCAAATTCCCGATCGGGATTTCAGCGCATGCATCCTATCGCGTCGCGCAAGAAATTACTGATAGTCAATTTCCTGGTTACGAAGCTGTTGGTGTGTTGATAATTTTTCAATAGTTGGTTAAAATTTGCTTTCCAAAAGTAATAAGAGAATAGCAGGTAAACGTCACGAGATCCTCGTCCACAGATCAACTGCGAGTCTGCACGCCTTGTAGACACACCACTACAACAGAACCTCAATAATTCAATTTGAAGTCAATCTTCCATATAGGCTTGAATGCTACCTCGTCCCTATTGGGAATGTCATTCTTAATTCCTTTCCTAACACTAAGTTAAATCCTATAGTCTCAGTTCAAATCCAAAGCCGTTTACTTCTTCACTGTAGGAGAAGGGATTTGATTTAAAAACGGGTTCATCGCTTAGCTTCCGCCCTGATAGTATAATAACATTCAGTTCAGTACAAAATTCTCCCCAATTTCAGGTGCTTTTTTTTGTCTTCTTACTCAAGCATCAAGATGAACTTTACGCCAGGGTCGTTGCTCACAAAGAGGCCTCAAGCCTGTAGATCGTTACGAGATAAACACACACTATGTAAATGGCATCTCTTAGGAGATGCGGCAATAGAGCAAGAATTAGACGATTTCTTGATCGTTTGCAACAACCTTTACCTAACGCTTTAGTGGCATTAGGCACATTAATAAAAACTACTCCGTCTACATTATTTCCGGTTCTCGTTTCCTTCATTTAAAGAGCTACCATGTGAAGAGTTCAGTAAAATGAGTTCTACTGGAAAAGTATTACACCATAACCAGAGCTGACTGGAGATTTACTTCCTGCAGATAAGTTGGAAAACTCAAGGTCTTACACATACCACTTTTAGACGATCCGTAATCTCCATTTCCTTTTTAAGACCCAAAAGCAAGCGAGAGTTCAAGCCAAGGGACCACTGTTCGTAGAATCATGTTCATATTGCTATTCTTCTTCTGAAAAAACCGATGTAACAGAAAGAATTCCGCAACGTCAAAGAATAAATGACATAAATGCTTCATTGTAGTCCTCAAATGTCCCTTCGATTTGACCCCTTGTCCTCGTTCCCTTTTCAGTAAAACAGTGCCAATTGCACAGCACAGTTAAGGGACTCGTAGCAGACTAGCAAGTCATTCTGCGTTCGAGTCTTCGTTAAAATGGGTGTCTTTGGATAATGTACAAACACTCTTCACCTGAAAAAGCACGTCAACGGAGGTTCTAGTTCCATTTCTGTTTTGTGGATGGATATAACCCGATCGGCAACGCGATCGTAGGACAGACAGCCACTTTGGAAAAAATCTTGATTATAACTTTGTTTTCATGAGGGCTTCTAGCTTTAATTACCCATTTCCACCAGCCGCCTTCGTTTTTCTCTAGGAAATCCATAACTGAGAACCAAAATACTTAACTAAAACTTGGAACTGTAAAAATTGCATTGTTTCGACGTTTCACGAACAGACAAACACTGATTGAAATAACAGGAATTCAACGATATGGAAACCAGTTTAGTGGATTCATACTCATTATTTTCATTGGACCTTAACAGTCACATCTTCGATGAGGGGAGAATAAGTAGGAGGAGGAGGGGGTGGGGGTGGGAACGGGAGCGGTTGCGGCGGTGGTGGTGGCGGCAGTTGACCGGCGCAGTCCTCTCCTACACCGCAGCGACCCCAGTACTTGCGCAAGTTCGGTTCCGAGGAGCAGCGTGGAAGTTTTCGCAGTCGGCGGTAGAGATCGTCCAGACGTTGGTGCAACTTGGAACAAGTAGACAGAAACTGAAAATATTTTTGAAGCTTCCAATGTCTAGTTGGTGCAACAGACTGACCTTGTGTGATGCAATTAAAACACGCAACAATGGTGCCACCTGGACTTGAGCACGTGTGTTGTTAAGCAGAGCATCAAAACTTGGCGTAGTAAGGCAATTAAGCCCAACTTTGGATGGAACATAATACGCCTTAGTAGTAAAGATGAATAGCTCCAATCAGCATAGATGCTCATCTATCAGATACCCACTGCATCGAAAGTTACCACAACTAGTAAGAGACTATAAACGGGAAAATACGGGATTAAGAAATGCGATAACTGCAATGTCTGTAAAACAATGCACACCATTCCGGTGTCCCATCGAGAAATTTATGGAGAGGTACCTCTAATGTTCTGTGAAGATATTTGCTTGATTTGTAATGTTTAGCTACAAATTTGTATGCTTAGTTTTTGATTTTCAACCAACGCCTTCAGGTAGGATGCAGGCACTATATTGATAACAGCGAGTAGAGTCGTACTTCAGGGGAAAATAAAAAATTTTGTTTCAGGTCATCTGCTAAGAATGACTGAATCTGCAAAGACGACCCACAGTAGGACGGTCGAGGTCGCGTCCACTTTTGGCAAACACTACGACCTCGTGTTTCGCACCCTGACCTGTGACAAGTTATGCTAAACTTCGTGTTAAATCGTTGAAACTGACAAACCAAATGATTGTAATGAATTTGAAAAAAAGCAGCACCCAGATTGAGATTAGGGAATAGGATATTGGAATTCAGCACTGAGGGGTAGCTCTAAGAATACAGAGATGACGTAGTACGAATAAACCGGCGAGAAAATAAAGCTCTAATTTAAAATAGACCACTGACTACCATCATAAGTGGCGAACAGGAAATGAGGTACAAGGTTCTTTGATACCATATCCCCGTCAACAGAGGAATGGAGCTTCGCTTCATTGGCAGATGAATAATTAAATTGTGTTTTCCGTTCCAATTGTGATGTCAAAGCAGTGTATCCATCATCATCGAGCAATAACTGAGACACATCTCTGAATCAGTACGTTTTTTTTTCTACTTCAATAAAATATCTGAAGAATGTTCAATAAAAACTGGTAGATACAACTGAACATCGAAATCACCAGAAGAACGAGCGCATAGAGTGCCCTACCTGAGAAAAATTTGGTCGAGCATCGCGCGAAAACTCGCAGGACTCGATGACTACACGGCGCAACTCGGTGGGCACGTCGGAGCGAATAGCCGACATGTCGGGTCGGAGGATGCCTTTACCGACGAGAAAGAGGATTTGTTCACGGCTGTTGTGCCCACGGAAGGGCAGTTGACCAGTGATTAGCTCATACAATACAATTCCGAAGGCGTAGACGTCCGAGAGATTTGTGTATGGTGTCTCACCCTCCATGCGCATCACCTCCGGCGCCTGTAAATTGTAAAATGCCAAATTTGAATTTACATTCAAAACGTTTTGTTACCGATATTATCAAAAATCGAGTGCTTCAGATGCGAGATATTGACATCTGAGCATTCCGCACCCATCACAGTCTTCAATAGACATCAAAATGAACGAACAGTCGAGGTAACTAACTAAAACCAAACAGCTGTAGCCCTCGGAGTTGAAACTTCACTTTTAGACGCATATATTCGGTCACCAAAATGAATGTTTACGGTTGTCTGGAAACACCTACCACCAAATCCTCATAAGTGGCTCAATCTCATTGATAACGCACATAAGCGGTTAACATTTTGAACTGTCTGTACCATCACAATGCAATGAAACTCATTCGGAAATGACACTAAACTCTAAATCGCCCAGAAGCATAAAAAATCACCTTGAAGAATTGCTTGAAAGATAATCTTAAAGCAAATAAGTGAAACCTGAAATAGTCAAAGCGAAGAGTTTTGGATGTCTCAAATTCCAAAACGTTATGCTTTGCAATTTTGGATTGCGTTTCAGTACCACCGTATATCAATCCCATGAAACAATGCAAAGATTTAAACAAGGATGGACTTTGAGTAGTAATTTTTAACCGCCACTGATCCATTCAACACAGAATTCATCCAGTCTTAAAACATTGCTTAGATTGCAAACGATCCAGCGGGGTAGAGACAATAGCCAACTTCACTACAGCTTTTACGCTAAATTCAAAAGGTATAATTCCACCTAACCTCAGAGACAGGACTTCTCAAACTATACTGCACATAAACCTTGGCCAAAAGCATCGCTCCTTGATCCTTCGAATTTTCTGGGCCACTGGATTGGTCCTACGAAGACATCCAGTTTAAAAAGCATCACAACTTTTCCACCAACTCATTCGAAATGATACATCAATATACCAAAAATATCATAGGTACATAATGATGATAGAAACCGAGATGGAAAGGAATTAAAAGTGAAGAAATACATAGATACTAAGCCTCAAATTCACAACCCATGAAAATGAGGCGCTTTAACTTAAATAACGGATGGTGGATACAAGCATGAAATAGCCTATGGAAGTGGAGTCGGAGGATAAGACTGCCCAGCTGAATGAAACTTCCCAGAATATGTGATTGTACGATGAAAGTCATATTCCAAAATTGCACCAATTGTAATACGTTGGTTGTTTGTTTAACTATCGCTTTTGGCAAAGGGATCACTTTGGGTCTCTTCCATTGTACCTCCACCGGGTGGGCTGGCCTCCAAACCATGAAAATAACTCCAAACTCTGCTGATGTTAAATACATATATATTCTGCCCAAGTCTTATGTCACCTTTTGCCTCTGGAGAAGTCTCAGAGTGCTGCATTATTGGCAATGAAAAACAAATCCGATTGTATGGGGCACCTACCCTGATTTCTACGGATGGGTAGTGGGGTGGAAGAAGTAAATATGCTGCGGATGGGATGATCGGTCACAATCCATAACAGAAGGGCTGAAATTGAAGTTAACGTTCAGTAACTACCCTAGTCCCGTAATATATAGGAAAGGTATCAACAACTGAAGCGACAATGGCAGTGGACCTTCAAGAAAAGTCCGTCATGGAGTGTTCACCATTCCCGTATGAAGAAATAAGTCATGTAAACTCGTAATACCACAGCCACTTCCCCATTAGCTGGATAAAACCTGGATAGATATGGCTGAGCAGTAGTGAGATGAGGAGTGACGAGGAGGAATAGAAGCGAAATCCTATCCCCACAACATTACATTAAATCCCGTCCTTTGTTACATTACTCTTCTTCTCGGCCGGTGTTCCCACGACTGACTAAAGGCTACACCTTCCTCCATCTCCCAACACAGTTTCTAAACAGGGCAAAACTCCAGATTCAGTAGAATTGCCAAGAGGGATCGGTGACATTGGGGCTAAGTATCTTCCCAATTGCATTAGAATTCGATGACTCGTTGGTGTTGCCTTACGGTACCGATTACATTGCGAAGTCTCGGAATGCTATACGATGTTTGACTGATTTTGCCCAAAAATGAATGAAATCAATCCGGAAGAAATGCTTCAAAGGAGCAGTCACAAATGCGGAAAAAGTAATGGAGCCAAGGGCTCAAAAAGCAAGACTTAATAATATTTAAATCCTGAAAAGATACGAAGCCTACCATCCAAAAGATAGAGCCAGTAGGCTGACGCGAACCGCCCTTCCACGTTTTCATCGTGGCCAGGCCAAAATCACCAATCTTCACAATCCGTTCGTGCAGAAATATGTTGCTGGATTTGAGGTCACGGTGAAGAATTTTCTTCGCGTGTAGGTAACTGAAAATGGAGAAGAAAGTGAGCAATTATAATCGAAAAATTGACACTTTTTATTCCCAGAAATTGTAGAACTTGAACCGTACCACCTTCATTTATCGAATACAAAAGACTGGAAAGCGAACAAATTGTCTGTTGATCATATAAAGTAAAAATAAGAACGTGCACAAAGGGAACTCAAAGTTGCTTAATGCTACTTCCTTGCGAAAAAGTGCTTTAAAAGTGCCTCAAAAGGACGAAGAAGTTTGCGATTGAAAGCCTAACACGACTTCTGCATGCAATGGAATTGTGAGTTGTGGAGCAAAATGTCCCAGCCCAAACCGACGCATTTGATGAATGCAAGAATGATGCCACGAGGGTTCCAACTATGAGATTATCGCATGCTAGCTCGTGAAAGATCTGGCACCAAATACACTCTCATTCAGCATTCGAAGTTGAGAAGTATACAGTGCTTAGTTGGGTGAAAGAGCCTACACCCGCGTTTGATGCGATAGAGCGACTGTCCACAAGTACCTTACATCATCCCTGAAAAATAAAACAAACTGGCTTATTTGTTTTAGGCTTTGTATGATTTACGAAATGGGGAGAATCTCTCCCTTTCAAACAAGTTCCCAAACCATATCAAATAGAGAAAAAAGGTGATTTTTGTTTTAAATGCATAATTAACTACTCAGACTCTTCAGTCTTGGTGGTTTCCGATTCCATTATGGTGACATAGGGTTCCGTTCATTGTGGAATACTTTGATGATTTGTTTATCTCTTAGTTTAGGTTTCAAGGACACCTAAGACTCCGCCAATATACTTTTGCTGGGGGGGGGGGTATGACATCCGGACCATGCAAGTAGCCCCCAGCCCTTCTCTATGTCAACAATACATATTCTCCCCAAAGCATTATACCTTCTCTTGTCTTCAGGAAAGTCTCAAGGCGCCACATCTACCAATTTTTTTAACGACCAACAAACTCCTCTTAATACTTGTGGCGAAATTGCAGTCAGCCTCACATGTCCTATGCACATAAAATCTCTACACACCAAGCCCAGACGTCACATAATGCATTTGTTGTGGTAACTCAACAGAAGAACTGTTGAAAATAAATCCATTGTTGCCATTTTGTCATGTTAAATTGCCTATGCTAAAGCTTTACATACTTCCGAATTAGTGCTGAGCGTATCAAACGACACTTAAGTGTGTGTTTAACCACACGGGCTTGTCAGACATCAAGAGCTCCACAAACGGCTTCGTCAATGTCCATAACGTCTCTGTCTTTTGCGCGGTGGCTATGAACTTTCGACACTGGTGTCTTAGTACGCCTTCGAAGGTCACTCGAAGCGATACATTAGTGAAGGCTATTCAAATAAAAAGGAAACGCGATTTTGTTGCAGGGTCACCAAACCGAAACTGTGTATGGATAAACCTGTGGAGGCTCACTACAGAGGGATAGACAAACCGTAGAATTTCACAAAGGCCCTAACTTCGAGTTCTGCGAAAAAATCATTACTAGAGCAGGAGCCGATTTCAACAAATTGAAAACATCGAGTTATTCAACCGCAAGAAATTGAAACATTACCATTTAATCCCATTTCCATCTTGATAATTTATAAGGGAATTCATGAACACTCCCATTAACCATACGTACCTGGGTTCTAAATTTTGTACCTATAATGTCATTTACAGTCCGTCAGAAGTTGTTCACAGCCGCCCTCACATTTACGTACGTTTTACATTTTACAACCATAGCACAAAAAAATAGTACAAGCACAGTGTAACTATTGTGCACAATTTTACACTGGCTATAAACCACACTTACTAGCGTCGGACCATTGTTGACTTATTCATGAGGCAAAAGAATGCATTTATTACCCTTCAGAGAACATTACCTGCTTGTCACTAACGCGCCTTTAAACGTTTGGTTGAAAAAAAAAGTTGCGCAGGAAATGCTTTTGCATTCAATAATTTATTACTCACCGACACCTCAATTAAGCCTCTAGTTTGGATTCGCCAGGTATATTATCGCGACATTCACCTAATATCCCACTATTAACTACCCCATAAATTGAAATGAAGTAAAATTATTAAAGGTGGCATGAAGTGGATGCGACCTGGTAACCTCCTTGCTCACCAAAAAAGGGTTACTGAAGTTGCGCTAGTTGTAAACCTACAATAAATCGGACCAAGACCACACATTTAAGTCAGTGTTGATAGGTTTTTGGTGAATTTTTGTCACATTGACGAGGCAAACATCAATTTTAGCCTAATCCTAGAACTAAATGCAAGAGCTGGCATTTTAAACCGGACCTGAGGTTCTTGCACGAATTCGGTTCCCAAGCTCCTGAACAGTACAATTTCATTGCTAGTGGTGAGAAAACACTAGGTACGACTCACGCCAAACGGAGAATTTAAAGTCATTTTAGAGAGGACTTAGATGCCTTGGAAGAACTAAACTCCAGGAGCCTCGGATGTGGATTGCTACTGTGGAACTATTCTACACGACTTACATATATATTTAGGCTGGAATCGGCATGCTTTGGGCAAATTCTTCCATTGCTGCAGGCCATTCAACAACGCAAAATAGAAGATGTAATACCTTTACAAATAATACCTAGAAACTGTACAAGAAGAGTCAGAATTCCATGATTGTTGTTAGTGCTGCATAACTGCTCAAAACAACTTACTCCATGCCCTGAGTGGTTTGACGAGCAACATCGACCATCTCCTCCACATCGAAGTGACGTTCGTGCACATGAATGTGTTTGTAGAGACTAGAGCCCTCGCACCACTGCGTGATGATGGCTAATCGCGGCTTCGAGACGACGCCCATGAAGAGGAGAATATTGGCATGACTTGTTTTTCTGAAAAAAAATTGCTGAAGGTACTGGAATGGCACATTTAGTGACCCACAATCCACCCTCTACGATTGTAATACAGAACTCGGGCTATATCATCAATTCTGACAGCTTTTCAGCCCTTCTCTGCGGTAGTACCTAAAAGATTCACCCTCAAATAAAGCGGTGGAGACGCATAATAGAAGATTTATTGAAATTATGCTCATTTTATAACCCAAGAGATTACGATAAGTGCAGAAGAATTCAGACAGAAGGCTGCGCAGTGTCAAGAGAGCAAGAATCGCCAGTGGACTACCAGATTGAATCCTTCGACAATCGGCCAAATTGCGAACACACTAAAGCAAAACACAATATTGAAGATATACCTATCAAGGCGGGTTCTTCAGTATAACTCGTGAACTCTACATGAAGTCTCCTTGACGTAATGGAAGCCCATTTGTAGCCGATTCACTCCAAAGCTGTTGCGATGACTAGCCCAGGAGGGTAGTTGCTGGAAGCATACGATTGTTTAGACAATTCAAGATCTTCTTCAATCCCATTTGATCTAAGAAATGGGTTCTCTTCACTATTTTTGCAAAGAATCATGAATCTGAGAAGCAGTGTGTATTTGACGGGCTCCTCACAAGTACCAAGTCGAAATAACATAAAAGCAAGATTCAATAAGCAAAATTGAGCGGAATTGACACTGCAGACAAAGTGGAGACGGAAGTAGGCTAGCAAAAGGAATCGCACCTGAGAACATTAACCTCATTCTTGAACGCCTTTAACTGGGTTGCAGTAGGATCAACAACATTGAGCTCCTTGATGGCAACATCCCCGTGCCAGTAGCCCTTGAAAACCGTGCCAAAAGAGCCCGATCCGATGCGTGGACCCCTCTGGATCTCCTCTGCGGGAATCTCCCACTTGTCACTGGAGTCAAGGCGCTGAGATGCAAGACAAGAAAGCAAAAATTAGTTTCAATTCCATAGTTTAGTCTGGAAAAATAATGTCGCCTTTATTAGTAGATTTGACTACACGGGTTGTTCAAATATTCTGCGATTCAGTTTCCGCACTGGTAGTAGACAAAACCATTCATGTAGACTGAGCCAATGGCTATTCACCCCTTCTGCAATTGGCAAAATTTCTCGATTCGTGCGCTTTGTAGCCTCTTTACGGATAACTCGAACGCTATATTATAAGCATGTAGATTGATGTCTGAGAGCGCTTCCCTTTGTCTTGACAGATGCATTACCTTTATTTAAAAACACCTAGCACGTTGTTTGGAACCGTATTAGCTATGTGTTAGTGACTGGATTAAGGGATAGACTGCACGAAAATAAGCACAAAATTTTCGCGACCCGTTATTGTTGATGAACAATACCCAACATGATTAACAGTCGAATTCATTAGTCTTCCAATGATGCGACAAAGTTGTTGGCAGTGTGATAACACGCTGGGAAGTCACAGCCGACAGCGAAAGCTGAATGAAATGTGAAAAACTCTAATTTCAATACTGATGCTGACGAATCCAATTGATCTGACATAACAACCAATAAATGGTTCCTACGAGAATCGACAGAGAATAAGGAAAAGCGGCCCTTTTGTGCACGTTGGAAGGCAGGTCCTAACACTAGGGCTAACGAACTTGCCATCCCCGAATATATCATCTCAGGATCTAACATATCCAACGTAAATATTAAAATTTCTACTGCTATTAAGGCTTGTCAGTTTGAAGGTGAAGTTTAAAACATTATATTCTCAAAATATGAACCAACCAATTCTAACCACTAATTTTAGAATGCCAATACCTCTGATGTTTGCATTTGGCACCACTCATTTTTCATTAAGAAAAATGCGGATTTTGAAGTTGAATAGTGAAACGGTGAATCAGCCAGTGCTCAACTAATATAGGGCGTCATCCAACAGTTGGGTAAATTATGTTAAGATAAATCGAACCATGAAAATGAGTCACATGGGGGCTAAATGATAAGGATCTTGAACTGTGGCGAAAGCAGATGCATGCAAAACTGCAGTTGAATAATCAGCGAGACGACATTTGCCTCAAGTGCCAATAAATTTTAGGCAGAAAAGTCTTCAACCATTGGTTTTTGCCCTATCACAAGTCGTCAATGAAGTGATCTCTTGACTCCTATCCTATTATTACAGAAAATCAAGCTAATAAAAGGGCACTTAACTGGGATTGACGCACATACTGAAAGCGTTGTGATAACCTAGCTACTATCGCAGTCACATAACACTACCACATTTACTTAATTCCTTTCAGTAGCACAAAAGTAGCTCAGATATTACTTGGCGTTGCCGAAGTGTAGAGGCGGTTCCATCACCCCCGTCAGTCGCCGATTTTAAACGATCTTCTGTCTCCAGATTGGATGGAAGAGGGCTCTTGAATTCACTTGAGTCACCACCACCGACGGCAGCATTGGAGGGATTAGAAGGCTGGTTACCATCGTGGGACTGTAATGTCGACAACAATTTCATGAAATCGCATTCCTCAGCACCAGTGAAACTTAGATACAACAGGAAGACAATTTTCCAAGATTTTTGGAGGACTGAAGAGGTAGGGCTATGGATCAGGTGGCGAACGTTTGCACCAAAAACCGTTTATCAACAGCAAGCAGAAAGTGTCCATCGTCATTACTGCATTTTTTGCCAATAAATGATAACTTAGCATTAAATATTTTGACCTGGAAAGTGCTTTAAATCGTCAACAGTAAAGGGATTCGACCACAAACAATAAACACTATATCAAAATTTATGAAAAGTTAGCCTCTTCCATGATGCCAAAATATAAATTACGTGAGTCTGCGAAGCATCAATTTCCCCTTTGTTCAGAAAAAAGGAGGTAATTTTATCTTGTAAGCCAGTACCGTTACAAAGATACGATACGATGCCCTAGCCCTAATCGTTAAACTGATTAGGGGACAAAAATCACCCCATTTTTAGAACATACCTTAACCGAACCCGCCCAGGGAATAAGGTTGGAGAAAGAGGGTAGCTGTTGGGGATTGATGTGATGGCAGACATTGGGACTGGAGGAGGAGCGCTCACGGGTAACAGCAGTAAGTAGATGGGCCGAGGGCATTCTAGCCGTGACTGCATCACGGACACCGCGATCCGCCTCCGATCCGCTTCCTCGCTGCTCTGCTGCCGCCGCAGCAGCCGCAGCCACCACCGCCGCTGCCACCGTGGCCGCCTCGTAGACACAGACCTGCGCAGTTGTGGGTGTTGTCGATCCTGTGGTGGAAATTGCACCGCTCGAGCCGTTCTGAACTGCCAACCAATTGGAACTGCGCTGGCCGCTACACTTTAGGCTAAAGGAAAAGAAGAAAGGGAAGGACAAGTAAAGAGATGAGGCGCTTTCTAATGTGAAGTGATGCAAACAAGTTACTGAGTAATTGAGCGTAAAAGGTTATGCTTTGACCCATTAGTGTATTACATGAAATACTAAAAAACGAGGGTTGTTAGCCTGGCAATAATTGATGTAGACGTGGTGGATGTTAATGAAAATGGTGTTTTGGATAATTTCATAAGGCCGATAAAAGTAATGCTCAAGGATATTTCGATGACAGATTTGGTAAAAAAACGAGGAGAATTGTCCATACAACGCAAAGAAAACCAGTTAACTTTTTTCCTTAACAAATACTGACTACGTAAACACCTGATATCTTTTTTACATGACATCGACTACACGATGCCGTTTGAAAGAGGAGCATTGTTCTTGTAGAAAAGCCTGGATTTTGCTGACATTTTAACATGATTATTACCATCTCCTCATGTACTTAAGGTTCCGGCTTTCTCACCTGAGCCCGAGCGTCACGAATATGTTACAGTTAGCTGACGGGAGAGGATCAAATTAAAAAGGGCGAAACAAGATTAGTATCAAGTAGTGCCAAATTAGAACAATAGGGTATCTGGGTAGTGACAATCGATGTTCCTCCAGGGCTCCGGTAAAAATTTATTGAAGTGGCAGTAGGGTTAGTTGAAAATCGTGCACCCGAAATAAAAGTAACAGTTTCATTAGCTTGGTGACAGATTGCATAGGCAGTCGGTGAGAGACGAACAAAAGCTGTTTTTTACATCATGTTTAGTAGAATTCTTTTAATGCCTAGACCTGGCAGGTAATGTTAGCTTATGCTAGATATGAGGAGGAGATCGGATTAGCTTGGAGGTCGGGGCTCTGTACTATAAATGGCATTGTTAGGGTGCCATTAAATTAACGCATTCTCACCTTCACTGACAGATTTCGGTTGTTAAGTTAAGTCCTATCTTTCCTTGCAGCAACATTTTTTCAAATGATGATGAAAGTGGAAACGCTTTCGTAAGCCAACAAAGCAGTGAAATTAGCACTGGCATTTTCACAACACTCCACATACTTTATAAACCTGAGAACGTGGGACGTCTTCTCTTAGAGAACTGAACGAAATTTCTGAGGGACCCCAATGCGCCTAGGCAAAACGAATTCAAGTAATTTACGGCTAAAACTGGAAGATTTAATGAAAAATGAACCAGAAGGATAATTTACTAGGCGGAAGCAAGATGAGACCAGTCCAAATTTAGATTTCACAAAAGCTTTCAAAGCGTGCTATATCAATGAGATCGAGGTAGCACAGGTCAACACAAGTGAAGTAAAGTGAACTCACAGTCGCTGAATTTCAATGAAATTATCCTCTTCAGTAGGTTGCAAGTGGTGCTTCTCCAACCGCGAAACGCACCTCTGATGAAACGCCAAGCCGCAAATTTTGCAAGTAATTCCAAAGAAGACAAACTTCTGACAGATGCTGCAGATTTGAGTCTCAAAGAACCTTCTGCGCTGAAACTCATGCTTTGGACGCCGATGGGTCTGCTCATCGTTAAACTCCACAACCAGGTCCCCTGAGACCAGAGCTACTCCAGCTGCATCGTCGTCCCACAACACAAGATTCCCTGAGCCGACGCTATAGACAGAGAGATCCTCAGTGCGATAGCATCGATGGGAAAGCTTCTTCTCTAACACCTGACGTATCGTCTGTCCTGGACGCACCTCAACCACGGTGAACTGGTTATCTGGAAGGTGTGCCCTCAGCTGGCACTTCTGAATTGGCAGCCGACGTTGTGGTGGACTTAGGGTGGTAGAATCGCCATTATTGGGTTGGTGCGGGCCGCTTTTACCTCGAGAAGCGCCTGCCGCACTGTTCTCCCGCTTACATTCGTCAATTGCAGCCTCAAGCTCTTCTAACTCGGTGGAGTACATTTCGATAACCGCTTGGACGGAGTTAATGTCATTGGAGACCTCATCATATTCACGGGTGAATATGCCGAAAAAATCCTCCTTTTTGCGAATGATATTCAACAGTTGGTACGTCTTGTCTTGCAGAACGTCGCTTATGAGGCGGAAGTTAGCAATCTGAAGGACGAAAAGTGGGGGGGGGGGGGGGTTGGGATAAAGAACACTTTATTTGGCGATGGGAGAGAGTAGAAAAACTAACCTTCGTTTTTAGCATATCACAGTTTTTCTCCATAGCGCTAAGATTAATGTCAAAACTTTGTCGATCCATCATTTAGCACAAAAAGAAGAGGGATACATCAACAATTTCCACTTGGAACTACTTCAGACTGTTTGAGACGCGCGGTTAACTAGAAAAGTAGGCACACAAACGGATGTGCATAGATGTGGTCAGTCCAAGTAAATACCAAAAAGGTGCACTTATGAATAAAACATTAAAAGGCCAGCAAGAATTCGTAAACTACTAAGGAAAAGTTATGGATTGACCAGAAGGTCAGCAAAAAGGGTGGGTCATCCCAATTCCTACGCAATCTCGGCAAAAAAGATGGTTCCGAAAGGCAAAAAACTTTTGATAGCAAAACAGTATTAATATCCTGTTAACAAATCCAAATAAAAGTCCGTGTCCAAATAAGATGGTGCATAATCTTGGGTAGTGTGCACAAAACAGCGTGAAAATGCCGAACATTGATGAGGTCTGATGTGTATGGCCACAAAAGAGAAGGCAATTGAGGGTAATAATCTTTTAAAGCATAGGATGTCGCCAATGCAGCAATTATGCAGACAAAATGAACTGGAACTCACATCTACATGCTAAGACAAGCCAGAGCAACCAAATCATTAGACGCGCTTTCAAACGACCTTTATAAAAGTCAACTGCCCAAGTTTAACATTGCTCATTGGTTTATCATAACAGAACAGAGCAGAAATAATGTGGCATGGCAAGTTTTTTCGGGATTATTGGAAACACACATAAAGCTGGTGTGTATTAGTAAAGTTTTACCTAGGGGATTTTTGACAGACCAAATCTCATACTTGCAACCATTGTCGCTCCACTTCTTCTCGCATACACAGTGGCAAGATTAGCACATAAGAAAATAAGTGGATTTTAAAAAGCCCCTTGCGCTGGTTTTGTAAAAGGGCATTATGACGAAAAATAATTAATAATAGGGCTCAAGTTGCAATTTTTCACAAGCTGTCTTTAAATGCTAACTTTTTTATAGAATTGGAATGCCATGGAACTCCCCAGAAGTCTCAATAACCCAACTTAACAACGGAGTGTAAGGACATTTACTAGGCCAGAGGATTGTATTCCCAGGTGAAATTGCACGTCGTGGAGACTCGGATGCCCGCGTAATTAAATAACTAGATAGGCGAAATACCAAATCACCCCAACAGGCACTCATCACACCACTTTTAACAATATTCCTTAAGAACAATAAGGTAATTCTGCATCAGAAGGCGCCCGTCGAGTACATAGTTGAGATTAAATTAATTTATGAGGGAAACCGTTCTTTCCCAGGTATTACCGTTTCACATTGTTTTGACGTAGACAAAACCTGGCCCCTAATATGCCTTATATTCTCTGTAGAATGAATTGAAGGGTTTTGTTATGAATTAAGTTTTATCCCCAAGTGGGCTGGACCATGTTGAGCATCCAACCAGATGATCCGTAGACGTGGATGAAGGGAAGTAGGAGGCTAGTTGACGGACACTGCCTGCATATTCCTCAGTGGTTTGCATTGACTGTGGTTATAAGAATGGATTGACCTTGCCCTTAGAGTTATTGTCGGGGCACATATAGTACATTTTTGCGTGACATGGGCCAATCGGAGGGAGCGAGAGGAACCGTTTTCTGAGTTCTCAGACTTTTATAGCTGTTTTCAACAGGAACGTCATTGATATGGATGGACTCGCCAGACACTGGCACTGGACCGATATTTTCACAGTTATATTAAAACATCCCATTAGGATCAAATGCTAGTACTTGTTAAGCACTTACTAGTTTTAAAATACGAATTCTTGCTTTTAAATTTCAAATAAACCGATTGGGCTTTTTCGCCACGACATTAGGTATGTCTTAAAAACATCAGGTCTTTAATTTTTTTAGGTCAAAGAAGGTAAATACTGAACAATAAACCTCTTCTTAGGAAACTTTTATTATCGACTATGATGGCTACTGTCGATGATGTCTGGCCAAATGGCAAACAGGTATCGCGTCCCATATATCACCTTGAGATTAAAAACTTCATGATTTTTTCCAATCACGGAATACAAAAATGCCCCTTAGCAAAAAAAGAGACCCATACAATGCATCGGATAAATTATTAAGGATTCGTTCTTAAGGTATCTTGGCCACGATCTTCATTGTTTTCTTCCGCTCGTTTTGGGGTGATCAATTTAGCACCCCGAGACTCCCCTGAAGACGAAAGAAGACAGAATATTCCGGAAGAGTATGTATTGTTGACTTATAGAAGGGCTTAGGGGCCTTACTGGCACAGCCTGAAGGTCAGGCCACCCGCATGACGTACAATGGGGGGACTCTAAGTGGTGCTATGCCAAAACCTAGAGTTGGCCAAACAGTTAACGCATTACATGATTCACCTTCTATTTTTAAGCATCATCCTCAATACCTCCCTTGGCAAACCTCGCTTGTCAGCCATCCCAACGTAATCAGTGCTGCAAGAAGAGCATTCACTAGCCTAACGCACCGATCATCGAATTTGCATGCAAGCGAGAAGATATCTGACTGCAACATCACTTATCTCCCCTGGCAAATTCCAGTGGATCTGGACTTCCATCTTGTAAGATAACTAAATTGGGGACGGAGAATGTGTTGGCCAACAGGCGTGTCCATCACTAGTCGTAGGAGCGCAGAGTTATGTAACACAAGACGGGATTTAAAATCATTCCTTGGGGAAAAAATTTCGTGCCCATTCTTTCTTGCCACTTTGTTCTCACTTCAGAGCTGCACAGCCACATCTATCTGAGTTCCATCAAGCTAGTAGAAAAGTGGTGGTATCGCGAGTTCACATAGCTGATTTCTTCGTGCAGGAACGGTAGACAGCTCCGTAGCGGACTTTTCCAAATAGTTCAAGGTTGACGCCACCTCAGCTGCTAAAAGCACTCCGCAGAACACGGAACTGGGGTAAATGTTAAGGGCAGAGGTCAATTTCGGTCCTTCTGTTATGAGACATCACAGATGCCCTACTCAGCATATGCACTTCTTCCACTTCACTAAGGGTTTATCACTCAGCAGTAGAAATCGGGATAGTTGTTTAAAAAGACCGAGCTGGCTTTACTTTTCCACTATTGTAAGGCCCCGGGACTTCCCTGAAGACAAAAGAAGACATAATACAGCAATGTCGACCTACAGAAGGGCTTGGTAGTTTCCGTTACGGCCCAAAGGCTGCCGCCTAAAGGAAACACGATGGTGGAGCCCCAAAGTGTCAGTACCAAAATCGAGAGTTAAACGAATAATTAACCGATTACGATCCGAATACAGGAGGCTAACAATTCGCCAGTTCTGTAAGCGTTAATAAATTCATTAATGACCATTTGCGTGATGTAGAAAAATTCACAACTTCATTTATTTGTGTACACTTTTCCCGGTCAGTCGAATTAAGAACTGACTGTGCAAAGGCTTCATTCTCGTTAGCCTGAGATGCAAAAGCAGTGCAGATGCTGGTTGGTAAGGTGATAGCTATTAATCTACCGACGAGCATATGTTGAAGCTCCCTCTTTCAAGCCTGGTGTAAGGAAGACCCACGATCAGTAGTGTTTGTATTGGGAAATTGTTCGTTATGAAGACGCTAATTGCGATGTTTGGCAGTTCTACCCATCGGTACAATTCTTCATAAGCACACGTACAGGCCTCATGATTCAACACCAAAGATAAATAGAAGGCGCAGAATGAATTGCTTTTTTTACAGAATTGACAATCTGTTGCTGAATTAGTAGGTCTTGTTCAATGAGAAATCAACAGTTTGGCAATTCCCACTGATTGCGTCGTTGCAGTTGAATAAGTCAAACTGGTTACAATTAATGCTGCAATTAGAGTGACTTGCAGTGCATCTATTGCCAAAATAGTCGATTTGTAAATGTCAAGTCCTGTCAAGACAGGTTAGTGGCTTCCAAATAAGTGCCTAAATTGCATAAGGCTACACAGTGCTGTGGAGAGAATATTGTCACTTACCGGAAATAACACCAAAATTTTCAGGTTACACTAGTTGCATGTAGAGCCCAAGTGGGTAGTGGGCCGTGAAAATCCATTGCGCCATCGCTAATCACGATTGCCATCACTGGAGGTAGGAGATAGTTTTGCAGACAAAATTGCTGCTACAAACATCCTTCAAGCAAAACTAAAATAAATAGGTTATTAATCTTAGGAGAAGAGTCAGTTCTAAGACTGATCAATTAGTTAACCTTACCATTAATTGTCAGTGCAGTCGAGGATTACACTGCATGTGGTCTTATCAAGGCAGACAGGGCTCACCGAGGCTGCAGTTGCCTCGACCAAGGGATTACAGCATGACTCCTATAGCATGCCAATCATCTACTTTTCGTGATTGAAATAACTTTTCTCATGTGCTTTCAACCACTAGTGAGCTATCTACATAGTAGTTGCCAAAAGTGGTGGAGTGAAATTTTGAATATGGGTGGGCAATCCATCAGTCGAACCACTCTAAAGACCAAAATAAATAACCGCAGCAGTAGTAGACCCATTCAAAACAAGACTACTAATAAAATTTTCGTAAGCAGGACTCCTAATTTCCTTCCAATTGAGCTCTTCCCAGCTCTTTCTGCATTTAATAACAATCCTCCAGGCCTGGTCAGAAGCGTTTGCTTCGTTTTCCCTGTAATATGCTAAGCGCATCCAGCCTTCAAAGCATTTGTCAATCATGCTGCACATTGACATCCCCTCCAACGTCTGTTCTACACGCACATTGACCATCATACAATGCCTCAGCTCATTCTTTCCTCAAAGTGATGAGTCTTAGGGGTTCAAAAGGACAGCTAAAGGAGAGACAGCGCCACAGCATCCAAGTTCATAGCTTTCCTCAAAGTCAGGAAACTTGGATTCCAACAGGTGCTGTGCATAGCAAACCATCCAAAAGACAGGTAAAAGGAGCTATTGTGGTATAAGGGAACGAGCAGTGTTAAAGGCGAAAAAATACTCCTGCATGTAGACCGATGTACATTGGATCCACCTGAAGACTAAACATCTAGGCTATTCAGGTACATAATTCAATTGTATATCTGTTTAGAGTCGCCTACCCGGACTGTCATCCAACTTTTTCGTCGACGTATGCGCAAGCAGGGAACTTTGGAATGCTTAACATTACTTGGTAACCAAAATGGACAATAGATCACAATTTAATGCTGATTGATGGGATTAGAATGAGCTCTATTTCACACAATCTGGTTAGATTCTCAACTGTGCCACCTTACCCCATAGCATCAAGCAAGCTGCCAGATAAATACACAATTTTTCCCATAACAAGTCCACGTCAAATCTTAACTTTTACTTACAAATTTGTTTATTTCATTCTTATTGTTAATACAGTCTCCTACGCAGCAGGAGGGAAATTTTGTGACCTTTACCTTGTTCGCAACCGACACGACACACCTGCGCCGCTTGACATTGCCTACTTCAGCTTGGCATTATAAATGTATGACACGTGACCCTTACCCGTGAATTATAGATGGTCGTACCAAATCACATTGAATAAAAGGACAGGTTTAAAATATTTCTAGTCTTGATTAAGCCCATTTCTCTATTCTAGAAAGCATGTTAAACCGGTTACTTTGGAAGGGCAAGTGTTTATGTCCTACTAGGATACTGCGACTTGTAAGCTTTGATGGCCGATTATCTTTTGGGATTAGTAAAGCCGAGCGTGTTGATAGTGAAAAATCACCACATGCCATTACTGACAGGATAACCTGATCACTGAATTGCTGTATGTCCATAGTTGACAAAAACCCTGCCTTGCAGCCCAAATTCTTAAGCAGCATTTCAATTAATTCTTATTTCTCAGAGGGTGCATTCAAAGAACATTAATATACTAAACTCAAAAACGAACTTCACAAATATGAGCCGAGAGATTATTATATTACAAACATCTTTGTAACAACTTAGCAATACCTTCTAGTAAGTTGGAAAACATTGGTTGTGCTCAAACACACTGCCAGCAGAAAGAGGGATTATAACGGTTAGACTGATGATCTCAACGAGTTCGTTTACAAAACAGTGCATTGTAGCTTTGAATGAAACACCAATTTTGTGCAGAGACATAGGTGGACACATAAAATACAAAGAGGTAGTTGTAGGCACAATGCTGAGACCTGATCTGTCTCTGAATCCCCAGAGTGTCGGACCTCAAAAGCATGAGCAGCACTCCCGTTGAACATGGCGCCAGGCACAGAAAGCCAAATCCATCGGATCACAACATGACTAGATCCACTCACTAAAACAGGTCTTCGTGAACATCAGACACACTCTTTATAGGATGACAGAAAGGTGAAAACACGACCTCCGTTCTTGCTACGAATCACCTTGTTATTGCCTCACAATTCCTGCAACATTCGGGAACAATCCCCATGTAGGTATATGGATTAGCCTTTTTAATTCTTTCTCTGATTTTAAGCGATGATAATGCGGTCTTATTTAGCAGAGTGCCTTCCATGTTGCAGTTCATTTTGGACACTACCCAAACACTGTCAACCCTTTTATCATTCATCTCGAATAAATGGTGCTTTTGTAGGATTGGATTGTGAATCTGCTGCTTCAAGTTAGTTTGTCAGCATTGCAGAGAGCAAAAATCTTTCCATAATTCTATGTGAGCTACTCCCATTACAAGACTGTCTTAGTGTAGTAGGTTCGGTGTTTATCCCTTTCCTAAGAACGAGTAGACTGATCGGATGAAGGCATCCTCCATTGGTAGTAGTATGAATTCCAAATAACATTCTAAGTGCATACACGCTTTCCATTCACTTCGAAACATGTTGCTTTTGGAGGGAAGCGAACAACATCAATGTTACTGTTAGTACCGCGCATATGGTACATAAAATGAGATACAGTTTAAATATATTTGACATATACTTTTAGCATACAAAATGCTGATGGGTTTGAGAAAAGACAAAATTCCCACTACGGTTGCTTGTATGCAGTCCACATGCATTTGTTACGCTTGGGGTTTAAATGGTTGCATGGGCAATGGTGTGGATACCAGCAGTGGTGCAAAGATGGCTGAAGTAGAGCTAAAGCACCTGAAAATAGAGACATCAAATAAATTAAAAAAATAAGCCCTTTGGACGTAAAAAGTGTAGAGCGAAGTATGCTGCTTTAACATCATGCAAAATCTGTGCAAATGAAGCTGATAAATTAACTGGAATAGATAAAACAAAATTGATGAGTGGTTGTTCCATTGGAATAAATTATTGGAAATATTCGCTCCTCTAAAGCATTTGATATCTGATTAATCCCCTGTTCCAAAACTTTTCACAAACGACCCGTTTTGCCTGACATATCTCAAAAATGGGAACGTGTCTTACCTTTGAAAGTCTGTATCACTGCAGGCCTTGTAAAATACAAATATTTGGAAAAGCTGACTCAGTCGCTTGATATTTGAATAATTACTTCCATGTAGTAAGTTTGCTCATAGACTTAATTATATATACATATATTTGCTGCAAGTCTCACCACATTATTTTTAGCAGACGTCTAGTTATTTTATGCCTACATCCCTATATATGTTAGTGTTGCAACTTCTTCTGATGTAGGCTACACGTCCTGTTTACCATCATCCTAGTGTCACGCGTGTCTGAGGAGAAATAATTTGTCCTTTAAGTTATCACGGTAAAAGCAAAAAAGTAATTTCTCTGTGTAAATGCTTTTAATCACATGGACATACTCAGGTGAATTTGAATGACCTTGGAGGTGTTCTGAAGTGCCTTGTCGGTCAGACTACCGGAATACAATGGATTGCAGATCTGCATTGGTTAAAATGGCACTACTAATGTGCAGGTGTTCCAGGGTCTAGTAATCCTTCAGTCATTCATTGCGATTCACTTGTCCCAGATAGTCCTACCTTCCAAGTAATGTGAAGACAATCCAAACGTCCATTAACAATATCTCCAACTCTATGAAAACCAGTCTTCAAGGACAACCACAGGAACATGCACACTTACTGGAGTCAAAATTGCGATGAACACTTGGTTGTTTCTGCCAAGCAGGAAAGCACTAAACTTGCAAGAACTTACTGTAAGCATCAGACTTACACCTACACATTGTTGGCATAAACACGATTGAGAGTTATCCGACGGTAAAGGTCTCCCGTTCACAGTTATAACTGTGGTTTCACAAAATCAGCCAACCACAGTGACGAGGTCAAACTGGGGCGCATATGAATACATACAAGACATTTCGCTAGCCACAAATGTGGACCATGCTAAGAATTGTCGCCGTTCTTTTCTTTGTCTCCTTTTGAGCGAATACATGTTCATTCCTCCATTTTGGCTTCATTTCTAGTTGATTGTTACCATGTGTCATAACCTTATGCACGCATCAATAATAAGTTTAACCTTTCAATGTAGGCAGCTTTTGCCAGGTATAACATTGGAAGTGGTATTAATGGTCAGCTATTTTCCTAATATAATGTGCTGCCAGACTAGCATGAACGCATACTCGACAGTTAGCATGCAAGACAAAACAATGAAAAGTTCTTTCGTGTTATAATACTTTTGTAGACGTAAAGTGGCAGCCCATATTCCATGTGCAGTTGCAGGTCAACATAACTCTTCAAGTGAGGAGATGCCTCTATACGTGATTGGAAGCAATAAATTTTTATCCGTTGTAGATTTCGTGACTAGGTACTATCAAAGCGGCGAGATAAAAAGAAAGTTGCCTGTTTTAATGACAGGAAATCTACAAAATAAGACATTAGAAGCGAAACCCACTTGCATTTGCCTTGTTCACTGGTTGTGCAATCTGAAATAAGTAGTACCATTTTAATATTTATAGTGGCACTTCATGTACTTCTTCAACGATTCTCTTACATAAGTTCATTTTTGAAGCAAAAAAAGGCCCTTTTAATTCCTAATAGCTGCAAGTACAGTCCCTACGAAAGTTGCTTTTACTCTCGTAAATGATATGAGCACCTGTATAACCACAACGGTGAAATTTACATACTTTACCATATCCTCTTAATAGAAGAAGATCTACTGTTTTGGGGTCCTCGGACTGTTAAAATGCCAGGAGATCATCACCATCAATGCACTTTCTTTTCCCCAAAGAAACCGTATGCTTGACGCATTTGCATAGGCAACCATACTTTTGCAACATGATAAAAACCGATTCCTCGAGTGCTACTTGGAGATCTGAATCTACATCACACTTATCATTTTTCTTTTGGATCGCCATGTATAATGCATGGCCAATCATGACATCTTCTGGCCTCAAGTCAAGTGCGTCCACGCTTTGAATGTTTTTGATTGATCAGAGGTGATAAAGGTATTGCTAAAAGACGGTAAGGGGTCCGAAATAAGTATAAAATGGCGATTGTTGCCTTGAAGATGAAGTCTGGGGTAGTGCCTACCAAATGAATAAATGTGGGTAGATCTTTGATGGCTCCCCTTCCCTGAGTTCAGCCTTCATCATTAACAATTTGCCTCTTCTAATAAAGGAACATTTCGGTTTCACCAGTGAATGAGCATCATAAATTTTGTTGGAAGCTTTATCAAAGGCACAACATCTGCTTGCACAAGGTAAGATGAATAGAACAAACCTTGGCTTTTCGCTATAGGAAAACACTGCGTAGTTATGGGAAGTAATACTACCTCTCTGTGTGACGTATCAAAACAGGAGGCTTTGGAAATATGGGCTGAAAATTCACTATTTGCGACAGCACACTTTGTGCCAAATTGTATTTGTTGAAGCCAGCTAAAGGTGATTAGCGTAAATTCTGAGAAGACCATATAGGGAAAAACGACATTTTCTTATGGTCAGTGTGGTCCATGTGGATGATATAAAATCCAAGTCCTTCATTTACTTGAATGTTGATGGAATGTATAGTCGGGAAGCATAGTTATCAAATGTTTTGCGTACAAATGAAATTGACTTGAAGATATCACTTCCACTTTCTCGATTTCATGATGGACTCGCACACACAGAAATTCAATTCGGTGTTCAAGGTGAAAAAAGTCAATTTTGGGGTGTGTAACTTGTTTCCAGCAATGCTGGCAAATCAGCACTTGCGTACAATTGTTCATCACTTGCCCATGAGCATGTGCTGCTTCCATTCTATCCTCCTTTTTCTAATGTGTAGACTGCCTTCTATGTGATCAGAGCATTCGCATATATTTAGGTTGGCACTGCTCTTCGAACAGGGATAAATGCAATACTTTCCGTTGGTATGATGTTAATAAAAGTCTGGTCGTTACTGCTGACTGGATGCGGGAAGGTGAGTAAACGTCTGGACTCATAAGGCAGGCCTACTGTCACCTTTCAATAAAACTACCACACCGAAGGAATTTCACAATGGAGCAAGTGGAAATTAGCATGATTCAGAAGAAACTAACTGTGCAAGAGAACTTAGAGACCCGCAAACTTTCCACAGGAAATAAATAAATTTAATGGTAAATTTGAATACATACCTATTCCACGATGATTAAATTGGTAGACAATGCTGTATACACCAAAATGAAGTTCGACATTTTGTGTGCAAGCCACCCTTATGTGCATAAAGTACTTAGCACTTAGGAATTGCAGACGTTGAGGAGATATTACTGAAATATTTCCGATAAATAAGTTCTGACTGCTTATTTGACATAGCTTTTCGGGTATCAGAGTGAAAGGAGTAAGTGAGTTGAAGTGCATTCTGACCCACTTTGGAACACAAAGTTGGTGGAAAAGTGATCCATTCCTCAAGTTGCATTTTCCCATTGTTTCATATCACATTTCCCAAAACCAAAGTTGTTCTGTACGGTTATGGTGTTCATATGACGTTCAGTGCTCTGCACTCTGCCCTCCTTTTTCTTACACACATCGCTTCATATTTATAATCCTTAGGTAATAGTACCGCATAGATGATAGCAACAACAGGTGTTTCATAGCAATTTAAGGAGACGCAAAAATGTCTTTGTTCAGATATAATATTGTCAGTTTTAAGAAATGTGACCACTGCTGCGATTGACTGACTGTGTAGTTGAAAGAGTCGACTATTATGAGAAAATTGCGGAACTGCTCATTTTTACGTGTTTTTATCAAACTGTCTCATAGAAGCATTCAAGTGAACACATGCACTACTTCTGCTTCACAGAATATCCGTTTTACACTAGCAGTAGTAAAAGAGCACATCAAGTGATATGGAAATGCAAGTAAATGCTTTGTTTGCTGATCTGTCAATGCCACGTCAGTGTCCAGTTTAGGCGCATAGGATCCATTTGCTTAAATGGACATCTGTTTTAAATTTAAGTTTTGCCCTAATAATCTCCCTGTTATTCACTAGCTACGTCGTACTCATTTATGTCACAACTGCATTAAGCATTTGAATTTTGCCTCACATAGCGAATTCAAGCTCACCTACAAAGCATCAAAATTTATTTTTGAGCTTGGTTTAAGACTGAGAGCCGTCATAATGCTACTGAGGCTGTAGAACAATGCCGGAATAATTTGCATTTATCACCAAAGTATTCACAAATTGTATCCTTTTCTTAGCTATGCAAACGTGCATTCAAGTTTGACCACAGTCACCCTTCCAACACACCACTTAAATCACAGCATACAGCTCAGCACTTAACCCATCAGATGGCGTCACAGTGTAATCCAGCTACACTACTGTTTGGAAATGGGATGAGGTCCACGAGCCAGATGAAGAAGAAGCACATAAAAACCGGTCTTGATGAAGAGTTAAGTAAAGTGCCCCTAATCGGATAAAGAATGTGAAGTTGAACTGCGTGTTTCCCTAAGAGCACATAGCTTAACTCAGTGGAGTAGATGATGCACAAGTGACCAATGCAAATGCACAAAACGTTTGGTTTAAAATACTTAAGAAAAATGCAGTATTCATACTTTACAAATGAGTTCCTGACAGTGAGTAAGATACACAGCAAGCAAATTGCGTGGCAACGATTGTCAAGAAACTCCAATTCTGTCTGTTTGTTGGATCAAATAGGCAAATGGCCAAGAGGTCAAAAATCCTTCTGGCTACCATCTCTTCATAGATCGTTATTAGCTATTTACTTGAGCTAAAAATACTAACCTCAACTTTTAATCTCACTATTTTATGTTGCTCGAGCATTAAGTGTTTCGCGGATAAACTTTCAAGAGCAGTTTTCAGCAGAGGCAACTGCAGTGTTTCACTTTTAGTCGTAGAGGCTTATAAAATGCGTGCAGTTGTTTATCCACGGGGTAAAAAGCACAAAAATGTGTTGTCCATTCTATTGGCACGATGCCGTTCAAAAGATTCTCCACTACCCTCTCACCATGCTTGAACCCGCATAGTGTCTGCTGAAGGTAGCTGATGCAATTGCAGCTTGTTTGATTTCCATTTTTCAGCTTGGCACCAAACATCCAATAAAAATGACCCTTGCATTCCACCGTTGAGCAAACATATTTCCACGCTGTTTGTAATAACGAGAGACCCAACAGTTCACTTGATGTAGGCCAAACGGTAATTACGACTGAGCTTTACCTACTCGGGACCGATCCGCTATGTGACAGCAACACTACATCTCCTGCGAAAACGCTTAGAACTAGTCAAGAAGCTGGAGGAAGGATCTCTTCACACCCCCTATATACAGCGCAACGCAAGATTTCACATTTCATGACTCGTACTGCATACCGCAAAACCGATCTGTTGGAAAAGCGAGAGAAAGAAGGGAAGAGGGAGGGAAGGAGGGAGAGTGGTGAGTAGAGATAAAGATGAGGGCACCACATCATTCTCATCTTTCGTAATGCCTTATCCACAATTGCCAAGGCACTGGTCATTAGCTTTTCTAGGTATTAGATCATCAAGTGCAAAATCGTACAGAATGCTTGGTAATAAAGGTGAGGTAGACAAATGAGTGGATACTCCCACGTTTGCTTGTTTGCCTTTGAAGCAAAAAAAGATGACTTGAGAAGAAATTGCAAGTTACTGTCTCGTTGAAAAGGATGCTAGTTTGTAGTTGCGGCTAATTCAACAACCAAGCTGCCTCAGAAGCAAATTTACTAATTCATAGACATTATGTCTAAAGAAGGCATTCACAAAAGGGATTGAGAATCAAGAATTCTTACTTCAGTTGTGTGCGTGACAATATATACTTTCTTCATAATAGGGAAGTCTGGTTCTGAATCTGCCTCGTGTCGAAAATCAGTGTAAAAATTTGTCCGAGTAACTCGTGTTAGCAACTAATTTTAAGTAATTGTCATTTTATTATAACTTGAAACGTGGTTAGACTGGTGATCTAGAGGAATCAGTAACAATGCAGTCAAATGAGAAGACAACTGAACAAACTTTCCCAATCGAAATAACCGCAACTCACGGAACAGTGTCTTGACGGTAAATGTTCCCCTAGCTTAAGAGACGAATAGAATGTGGACACCCCGAACACCTTACAAAGTAAAAATGTGGATAAATCTATCTCGCCACATGTTGCCTGTAAGAAGACTTTATGACTTGCCAATCGCTCAAACTCATAGTAAATTCTATCCCCATCAAGGGATGCAGATCGCAACCATTCGGAAAAAGGGACCATTTAGCTACAGAGGGAAGCGATTGCATAATACCATTAATGTTTTTACCCAAATAAATTTACAAATGGTTTACTAATTGTTACTAATAGGTTAAAATCCCATTTGAACACCCCTGCCTTTAGGTTTAGGCCACAGGGTACTCGTTAGGTTAGCACTAACTTTCTGGTGGTCTGAGAAATTGTAACTCTATTCATACGATTCAAAAGCCGAAACCTATCATGAAAGAAATTACTACATCCAAAGAGAAATTATTTGCGCTTTAGCATAGTTTTGAGATAATGTGACCAAGGAAATGTTATTTTACATCACAAACAGACAATGCTGCGCCTGATAAAATGGGTTCAAATATTATTATTAGGAAGCTTTCACAATGCAACATTTTAAATTCCTCGGGTACTGCAAAGTCAGTGGAAACTAATCACTCTTTTAGCATCTAATCTAATGGAGAGTAGCACACTAGCATTCCACAATTGTCCCTCCCCCCAAATAATATCGCCTTGTTTATTTCTACCTAGGAACCAAAATAGAAGCGATAAAGCGAGAACGGCAGAACAAAGCCCACAACCAAATTTGACAAAACATTTAAGGGATAGATTCAGGAAGTCAGTCTTTTACCAAAAGGGACATATGCACATCGTTCCAATGGCACCACTACAATAATAGTACTCCCGCCTCCAAAACAGTAGACCAGAGGTACATCAATTCATTTTGTCAATGTTAAAGACATTTTTTTAGAATGCATCGTGTAGGATCTTTAAACAAGTAGCATAAGAACATTTTTTAGAATCCATAGGCTTGCTCCCCCTTCAAACTCGAATCGAAACATTCAAGTATAAGATGCTAACGACGGATTACATAAACAACCTCTTGTAAAGAATCAGAGCCCACCCAAACCTATTCTCTAATGAAGCAGCAAGCAACGGCTTGCGGCAATCCGAAGTACATCGACAAAATAACCTGGGTCTCAAATTAAGCAAGCGAAACATTGTGGAGACAAATAGTTGGGAAGACAAAGATCCAAATATTCCAAAGTGGGGCTCAACACCTCCCATTGAACAAATTTAGGACCATTCACACGCACATGTTCTATTGGCCACCAGCGGTAATGAGGTTAACTAAAAGAATAGCTCAGTGAAGAGGACCTGTCTTATAGCAAATCCCCACTAATGGAAGCCACAGGTGGCACTCAAGATAGCAGCTGCAAAAACACGGCTTAATACATCCGCCACTAAGGTCTATCTGTCTGACAGAAATATTTATAACGACTTATGGAAGTTGAGGCAGTTAGCTTACAATTAGTCGTTTCAGTGGAACTGCAAATTACGAAGTCACATCGAAGAAATGGACATAACTAATCAATTCACGTGGATGGCAGTGTTGCATCTCACACTCACATTTGTGCCGCTTAAAAGTCAAGTTATCAAACTCTCAACAGCCACCTGCTTCTGAAAAGCTGACAGTACGTCACGGCAATATGTCGATCTGCACCATTCACCAGAGGCTTACTGCTATCATCTGCAGCCATTCAGTGAAACAGCTAGCCAGCGGATGGATACAGGGTGAAAAAAAGAAGGAGAGAGAAGGAGACGAATCGACGGGAAAACAAAAGGGCCTTCAGAAGTATAGAGATTTGGTCATGCAAGCAGTCAAACGGATTGACTCCCAGGCAGTGAGACAGACTAAAGTCGGCATAAGAGGAGTAAAGTTATAAGCAGAATTGGAGGGAGAGGTAGAGGAAGGGTGCGACGTGGTGAAGATGTGTGTGTACGTGCACTGTGTGGCGTAGTGCGATACAACGCCGTGTGGAGGGGTTCGGCACAACGTGAAGGATGTGAGGAGGGATGTGATGAAATAGTGCTATGCTAGTCACAGCAATGCCACCCCGATGGCCACAACCAAGGAGGAACGCAAAGCTGCAGATGTGCCTCAACCCACTCTCGTGCTCCTCGGTGACAAGGCCTAGTCGAGTTCCGCCCTTTCCATTCCAGCCTGCACATTAGACGCTATTGTGTGATGTGCGTGCTTGTTTCGGAAGCAGAATCTCTAGCTGAATCTTCACATCTTAGTAGTTAAAGAGAAAAGACGCTGAGATGAAATGAGACTGCTGACTAGGTCACGGAAGGCCTAATAGTCTCTGGTTCCCACTCCATTGATTGTGTGGCAATCCGCATAAAAGGGGCATCTGAAAAATGGAAATCTGCGGGCTTCTGCCTCTACCGACATTGAAGTATGTATGCATTAACTTGATGCAGTAATAGTTCACCTAGCAAGGAACTGCTTATGTAAGAATCCCACATAAGTCACTGTGTTGAGGTACAAAAAAATGGTCCTCCTTCTATGTGGAGATTGAGCGTTTTATGCTTGTTTCTCTACCACGGCTGATTTTAGTCCACCTGATCACTTGTGATGGCTGATAGGAAAGAAAGAGACGTTGAAAGTCAGCGTCGCTGCATCTCTGTGAGATAGAAACGAGTATCCAATCTCATGATAGAGGGAATCGAAGATAGATTACAGGAGATCCCATGTGGCCCTTGATGTCTTGACTTCTTGCTTGTTAGTACATGCTGCCACATTGCATAAATCTCAACTAACTTTAAGTCGTGCCCAGATATCATTGATTTAAACACAAAGACGAATTTACATAAATCATTTAGGCATTTGCAACTTTGGCACTGTAAGTGGTGGAATGGCGGTTTTGCGTGCAATTTTCGGCAAAGGTCGGCTTTGTGGATGAGATCAGGCACTGCAATACGTTTCTTTGCAGATAAAATTAATTGTAGCAATGGATACTGTTAGTGAACAATGAAGTCTTAAGAATGCCTGTGCACCAATGGTAAGGATTGTTGGTATGACGTAGGTAAATTTATTTGGACCGAATTACAAGTAAATGCTTGATTATTTTCTGCTAAATTACAGTCCCTCTAGCATTTGCCGCAGAGGCAGTGAAGTATTCCAGGTTCTGGTATTTGATGGCACTGTCAAAATGACGACGGAGAAATTCAGTGGTTGAGGAGACGATGGCATTTATTTACCGCAGTCACTTGTGATAAAATTGGTTGAGTTGTGCAATGACAAGCTTTCTATATATGCTGGAAGTGGTTTCATCGTTGAGTGTGAGTTGTAGAATTAAGCATTTTGAAAAATATTAGTAAATCCTGTCCTAATTTGTGACAGGGCAATGGTTACTGCAGCCACCTGTAGAATGAGTGAAGGAGGTCTATCAAGTGGCATCAGGAAAATAAGCACTCTTTTCCATCTATCCTTTCATCATGCATGCATCTAACCTTTGTCCATCCAACCACACCAACACCTTTCCCTGTGCCAAATGTTCTGCTTTCTTAAAATGCGTACATTATTGAACTTTTGGAAGAAAATGCATTTACCACTTTTGAAGAATCACGAATGAAATGTGTGTATGTGGCCTATCTTTAACACTCAAATGGCTTTTCATGCCTAAGTAAAGTGATTTTCGTGATGAAGTGCAATCCTCCAAAGTGTATCCTAAGTATCCTCTTAGGTGAATTTCAATGTTGATCATGACAAAAACATGATTTGATGTGTTGTATATGGTTAAGCCAAAGAAAAGAACGGGATTGTATAAAACAAAGAGACTACGAAAAATGGATGTGTCAGCCGTATTGGTTGTGATCTGGAGGCGTATACACGCTATGATACTCCTCCAACAGCCAGACTGTGGTATAAGAAGTTGGTTACATCTATTAAAGTTAATGGTGCTAATTATAGTTGGGACCTATTTGCAATGTTTATGAAGAAGTGGCTAAAAGGGAGAGCATTAATGCGAAGCCCCTTTACTAGAAAGATAATTGCCATGCCGTCCAGACTTTTGTGAATATACGAGCTTTCGCCTTTACCTTCGCAATCGCTTACATCGTAATTTGTTGCGTCTATTTCTACCGTATGCTCGTTGCTCTTTTTTTTCCTTAGGATACATACAGCCTCATGAGAGGAGCTGCTAGGTTCGGAGTACTATAAGTTTATCTGTTGATCTTGTCATTGCATCGCCCTGTTTGACAGAACTCTGCGCTTTGCATTCGAGACGGTTCATCTTCATCTGTCGCGGGGTTATTTGTCATTTCGATGCATCGTCCTATCGAGTGTGCCACCATTCAGCTTTTATTTCTTCAATGTTTTTAATTGAGTTGCACGCCTTTCCAGTTTTCGGCACTTCATCGTTCCCAACATGAGGAGGTCAAGTCAATCGGAAACGAAAGAGAAGGGTGACTAACGGAAGGGAAGAGGAAAGGTGGGTGGATGGTGGAGTTTTGACAAAGTGGTGAGGTAAAATGAATGCACCAAAATACTAGGCAAGCACTCAAAAGACAAGCGGACAGAAAAAAGTCTTACTCGGTGCAATTTAAAGCTGTCTACCTATTCGACTAGAAGGTCTAGGTACGAGAAGAGGATGAGATGAATGTACCTGCACACATGCGCACACAGTGACCACAACAAAACAGTGATGTGAATTGAGAAGAAAGGAGCACAATTTTATCCGTTTGTGCGGGACATTACTTAAATCGCTTGTTTAAATGGACATGGAACCGAAATGGGCAATGACACATGAACTCGGACAAACACACACTCAGAGACGAAGAGATGGACAGACAGACATAGTAAAAACAGTAAAAAAGGGTTAACGACGGAAGTACACATTCTTGCCTGTTTCTGTGGAGAGCCATAAATGAGGTGAGCAGGTAGCAGTTCAGCTTGACTACGAAGTGCAGACGATATATCGCACAGTAGGAACTGGGATCAAGTTGCCCACCTTCAATTTCAAGGGGACAAATGGAGGAGTTGCTGGTGTAGGAGGAAGTGTATTCGTTGCAGGGTAGCTTGGAATAAACTGGAGTTCCATGAAGGAAGAAAAAAAAGTTCATTGTGAGTTCTAGAATATAAAAGACTAAACTAAAGCAAAATGTGGTCATTAGCAAACTACTTCATCGTGTAGTCTAGTCTAGTCTACGACTAATGTGGTCTGTGACATGAGTCATTAATCATCCAATCATGTTACCTGTCGCTTGGCACTGAGGTAAAAGTGCAAGTGAACAATGGCTGATGAGCATTAAAAAAGAAGGAGGGATTGGCGATGATTGATAAAATGGAACTCCAGAACAGTTTGTTTGCTGGAGAATGAGTTAGGTGGAGTGGGAGTTGAAGGAGGTTTAAAGTTGTGTTAGAAGGAGGAGGTAAATTTGAGAAAAATTCTTATGAATCTTTCTGGATGCCCTACGATTCGGAGTGTTTTGGCAGACCCATAAAGGCTCCAATTGTTATCTTTCCCTTTAACTACTGATACAAGCTAAGCTTTCCATTCTTTCCAGCATAAAGGCACATCTCGAATGATTCCTAGAATTGGCGATACTGGTGGGAGTCTCGGTGGCATTACGCGAACGCAAATACTTTGCGAACAACTTCGACGCCTATTGTACGCTAAGTGGTGTCTCACAGTGCGGACATCACCCAGAACCCGTACCGATCCACACTGCCCCAACATTCACAAGGTGTATCGACATATTGAGAAATGTACAGGAGGAGTGAACCATAAGCTGCCTCAACGTGCTCCCGCCACTCACCTTGCTACCCATTTTGACAGTTGTTAAGACCGACAGTGTGGAGTGTGTGAACCCTTGAAATACGCACTGGAATAGCGATTCTGTCCAATCGAGAGAAAAGGCGGGCAATTAAACCGCGAAATCATACTGACAAGGGGACAAAGAAGTGAAGTTGGCATATCGGACCTTCATTTTCTGGGAATGGAGCATGCAACTCAGTGTGCCAAGTATTTTGAGGGCGACATCTACACAGAGGCCAGTTCCGTGGAGCAGTACCCCTACACCATTATGCAATATGCTATTTCGTGATTCGGACTATTGGAGAAAGATTGGCTGTTATAAAAAAGCAAATCTGCGGACTCTGTGGAAACTGGCTGTTATTATGTTTTTACATATGTGGGTGATGGAGTAGTTGGAAGGCAAAGGTAAGACTTTGCTATGTGATATTAAACATAATTAGCGCATCTACGACAGCGTTGTTGTGTTTTGCTATTCCACTGTAATCCGCTCCGAGTTTTCCGTGCTTAAGCGTTAAGTCATGCACATCACAATGATGTATCCTCTCCTTACTGCATTAAGACGAAATTTCCAATTTGTCTTCGCTTCTATATTTAGTATTTATTTAAAGCCTTCGGATTGACTGTAGGCTGTAGCTATACTGTAATGTATATTTCGTCTGAGGACGAAGTGGTGAAGAGTGTTGAGGAAGAGACTTAAAGGCTAGCAAATTAATTTCTTTAAACCAAGGTTATTTCACTAAATTAGTGGCAAGTATGCTTTCCGTCAGCCATGAGCACAATAGGTCTTGCCTTCCACTAAGGTTGGGTATGTTGCTATAGCGCAAGTAGTGCATTTGCTTCCATCCACTACTTTGTTGTTCAAGAAATGGCAGAGGTAGGATCCGTGGAGGTTTAAATCATAGAAATGCACACGAGCAATATGAATGTCTAAACGTTGTTAGGGAGCTACTGTAGCTGTGGAGCCCATTATGGTACTTGTAATTGCACCTCCTCTCCAATCCGCTTTCAAAATAACTCTGACGGCAGTTTACAGTTGCAAAGGAATATTTATCAGCTGGGACACTAGAAAACAGGTCATTAGAAAGTTTCATTATGCATTTTGCCTTCAGTGAATTTCCGCTTCGACTATCTTCCTCAAATCATTCATTTACTTAGTGAAAGTAACAGTTTTCTGCATTTGGCTAGAGATTGTGTAGAAGCAGAAACAACCGGAATTGCACAGTCACATCAGCCAAATCTTAAATTCATGGAATCTTTTTACAAATTGTACATAATCTCGTGCATTCATGCTTTGGAGGTTCGGAAAACTAATTGGAAGCCCATTAGATCTTAGTGAAAGGACACAGTTGGCTGCAGCTAATTTGCGTATCTACATTTTGAGAAATACATTTCCTCAATTTATCTTTTGTTCCCTTCCACCAATTGCTAAGGTGTAGAGTGAGGTGATTAGGAAATGGACAAGAGTAGCAACATATCGGACTGCAGCATGTCCTACTAATGCTGGTTAAGTTGGCCCGTTTCACCATTGGTCGACTTTTACGAAAATGATACGCGAAGGAGAGGCTTGCTCGGTAGGCTGTTCTACGAAACCTGCTGTAGAAAGCGGCACGGACATCCAGGTAATACACACACCCAGTGAACAAATCAGGCTGAAATTGTTAGTCTCCATTTGATCGCTGACTGGTTTTTGTTAGAAATGACTGACTGAATGGTGAGCAGGAACGCGTATTTTGCTCTCCCTTAACAATGTTTACGATTAAACAAAATTAAACTGGCTGTAGACGGAGCGTAGGAGTCTCTTTCGTCACTCATTTGGCGTTTGCCTGAACGAATTAGCAAATAGTTGCCCTCATTACTAGATAGACAAATTACGAGTTAACTTTCCATCTATCCTTGAAAACCGCATGATTCTGCAGACTGTGTTGCTCAATTCCAAGTTAGTTCCTAGTGGAAAGGGAAGATATCATCAAACCTAAATTTCTGAAGATACCTCCCAACTTCAAGGCGGTCAACCGTGATCGACAGCAGTAGAGTGGTTACCCTCCACAACCTCAGTCATATATACAGCCAGTGCAAATTTCTGACACCAAGTACGTGTGTTCTGGTTACCGCTTATCAAATTCTCGCTTCACTTCTGGACACATTCCCTCTCTCAACACCGTGCATTAATCATGCTACCTGAGAATTCGTGAAGAAACTCCTAGCCGTACTCCTTTCTTTCCATAGCATAATTTATTACCCAATTCAATTCATTTCCCAATCGAAAATAAAAAGCTCTTCATCATCAGCCCTGTATATCAGGGCATCGGGACATCCATATCCATCGACAAAGTCGACAAATGCGAGTTCAAAAAATGTCAATTTTACCAAAATCTAATACACAACGATAGCAGGCCATTCAATACCACTGCCTTTCTCTGCACCCCCAGAGCTGTCGACAGTGGAGACTTGGAAGTTCAACACAGCGCAATGGTCTACACTATGATGCAATGCGAAGCGTACTCAGGCATTTGAAGCATTGTACTGCAGAATAGAGTTGTCGTATGCTGCACTGCGTTTCATTTCGATGGATAACTAAGCGTTGGATGAATTGAACCAGTGATTTATCAGTGTCATGCTGCAGATAAACCAACATTCACATCTGCCAACTGTTCTAATAAGCTTCACGTTCACTCGCCTCAGTAGACACGCTAACATATCTGCAGTTGACAATAAGCAACTTGAACTGGCCAGTAGTTCAAATGCATCCTGAAATGTTCTCAATCACGAATCGCATTCTACAATGGAATTGCATGCCATCACATGCCAACATTTGACACAATATGTCAACATTCGACAATCACTGACCAGATTCGAGCATTTGCGCTTGTGCAATGTGCTACAAAGCCGTGATTGGTCATTGACTTGCTGCCGCATGAATGCCACCATCTCCTTGAATGCATGGTCCTCCAGATTCAACGATAGCTCGGCATTGCAGAACTGCCCACTTTCTGTTCTTTCCAATTTATGCTGCTGATGAACTAAGTGTAGCACATCCTTCTAAGCAAGATCAACTTTAAATAGACATTCGTTACATGTGAACCGCTAGTCTAACGTCGCCTTATCTTCCGTATAGTGTAGAGCCTTCACTATGACAGTGGTAACACCAACAGCTGATGGGGTTACTGCCTTTTCTGACTGAACTTACGAAGTTTAAACCCTTGTCTGTGCCAACATCTCCATCAGATGCGACTGCTGCTCAAATACAAGTTCCACCTGCCATAAGTCAATAATGATAGCATTTGCCTTGTCGAAATTGAGATGAATACGCATCTGTAAGTGCAAATGCGTTGGTGCTCATTGATGACCTGCTAGCTTTCTTTGGCCTTTGGATTGCAGAAATGTTGAAAGGATTGGCTAGTGGACCACAAGTGGTCCCAATCATACACGAAGTGAGAAAATGTGCACTCCCTGTGCTGGAGAGCTTATTCAGCTTCATATTCATGTGGCAGCAGTCAATTAGAATAAACAGATAAAAAAGTTTTTGGCAGTGTTGTCACTGTTGCAAAACTGACTGTCTAAATCAAATTTCAAGCGTTAAAACAACAGGATTCCCAAATACGAGGTCCTGTCTGGAAACGAGTCATGGTTCAATTAGAAGACAAGGGTCATCAAATGATCCATGTAGCCATTATTATAACCAGAGTGGATAGGATAAACATGGAACAAATATTCACTAACACGCGGTACGAGAGGCAAGGGCGTGTTGTGAGCCGCCATCTGCCAACGTGACCGATTGGTGTGGATTAGTCGGATGACTAAGGCAAGTACATAGCGCTAAACTTTTAAACACCTATAATAGCTTTATCGTGGTAACAAGGTCTTAATGAATGGCACTAGCATCTAGGTTGCGTGTTAATATAGAGCCGAGGCACCGTGCGTGAATCAGCCTCAGAAGAGCCAACGAGAGATAGAAAAGGTATTGAACGGGAGGCTTTAAGGCCCATGCTAAACAAGTTGGCTATGTGAGACAAGTCCTCAAATTATCCCTGTTGCCCTTACACGCTTCTCTCCCTCTCTACACTGACATCGTGCATAACGCTTCACTAAGGCTGTTTAGAATGGGGACAGTTTACCACATCCAGATTTGCCCTCACCGAGACCCTGTGTAACAACCTAGGCATCAATTCTATCTGCATGCATGCATTGAAGTCAGTTGCACCCACTCATACATGGGATGCAGCCACCTAACGTGCTATCTTTTTTACACTACCTTAGTTTACAAATCGAGGAAAACTAATACTAATAAAACGGTTAAGTTTGTGTATGGCCTGTGTTCTGTCCGGACACGAATTAAGGCGACTTGGACATGGTTGTATCAATGGTGGGTGATGCCCTAGTCTCCTGCACGCATGCGGCTGTCACTTTGCGATCGGGTCTTCTTGCACTAGGTAGGCAGACCTGTGAACAAATGGCAAAAAAATTGCACATTGTTGGTTTTTTACTCCTAAAGGCACAATAGAGTAAAGTGTAGTTTGGATTATCTCAAGTGTGAGTGCTGCATTGACTTGCCCTAGTTGTAGAAGTAGAGAACGCGGAATCTGGGATGCTAACGACGAATAAAGGTAAAGTTTAGCAATTCTAGTGGTCCTCAGATGAAGGCATCCAAATATACAAGGATTTGGAAGCGGTTGGGAATCAAGAAAGATGGGTTGCAGGCTTTTGCTTGTGGAAACGATGCCAGCAATCCTTTAGAAAACCTCTCTGTTTTCACAATTTGTATAATAATTGTTTGAGTCCCGAGATGTTACTTTTGATAAAATAGCATCACCTCGTTTGTGGACCACATAAATATGCTACAAGCAGTCTGATCGCCACATAGGAAAATCACTTTATAAATACATATTCATGCGTCACCATCAATTTTTCGCTATGGCTTAATAGCACAGTGAAGCCGCGCATCATTTCAACAATTACATTTTCAAATTCTTAGGTGATTTTATTCAGCAAATCTTTGGATTACGGTTTTGTGGCAGGAGATTCTGCAGGTAATGTCAGCGCACGATTGGGAGACAGTAAGTGATGGCAATGAGGTGCAAGTACCAGTTTGTGTAGCAAAGAAGGGGTAGTGGATTGTGCAGCTTACAGTTCAACTCTGCAAGCATGCATCTTCTGCATAATCAGGTAAATAAGCCATCCTAAATGATTGGGTAGAAATGGCAATAAGTGTCCGCTACACCTTATTATCTCTTTCTCCCCTTAATTCACCCATAAACCTTCAAATGAGCAGCATTGCATAAAGTGTGGAACGAGTAGAAGTGCACGGGTAACAGCCGAAATTGCAAGACCATCTTTACATCTCTCTTCTAATAGTTATTTATGTGTATATATTTTCTCCTCTGTCTACGACGTAGATATATTTGAAGGTGGCAGAAGCCAAAGGTTGGTTCCGGTTAATTTTGTTGTCTAGAGAAAGTAGCTGGCACGATTGAGGGTATCCAGAGCAGCGGACGAATTTGTTCACATGAAGCTGGCGTAGCTAGGAGGGAGACAGAAGTGGACACTGTGTTAGGTATTGGTTGTGACTAGACGATGGCATTAACTGAATGTGAAGTGGCGATTGGTGCATATCCACAGTAGCACTAGAGTCTGATGCTTGAGTCAGCTAACTATCACAGCTCGTTGAGAAGAGGCATTTCTATTCATGACGCCTTCACGCCATCTTGTTTCTACTCGACTACACGGACTTGCTTTCATCCAAAAGGCGGAAGAATTGGAAATGAGATGACAGTAGAGGAAAATCGACTTAGGTTTGGAGAGAGATCGTTTCTTATGCCAAATAGTGCCTGAGGCCGCAATTAACTAACCCTGCATTTAACTAAGAGCAGAAGTCTTGGTGAAAACAGTCAAATGAGCAGCGTCGGCTTGAGAGATATTTGG